AAAAATGATAAACAAAACGATCTCTTTTTGATATAACTTATGTGCATCAAAACGTTGCAATAGAAAAAGATACAATTTTTGGTCTCAATTTGATACTTTTAGGAAAACTGTGTTGAATAATTATTTTTTGAAAACATATTTTGACTTTTTACTTTCACAGCTGGGATGTCCGTTACTGTGAAGCGCTCTCTGTTGAAAACATTTTTAACCCTTGAAAGTAGGATGTTTGTCAATTTTTGTCCAGTTTAAACCAATCAGAGTAACTTTCAGACATAGTGGTGAAAAATGGTACTACTGAACGTAGGATAAAATGCTAATAGCCACGCCCCCATAGCGGACATCCCATATCCCATTACTTAGTGACAGTGAACGACACCGTACCTGCTATTAAAAACGATAATAACTATAAAAATAATAATATTGAATTAAATATCACTAGTATAAATTAATTAATATACAATATTTAGAAACTGATACAGTAATTGACACAAAATTTTATATGTTTATGTTTTCCAATTTTATTTTCTAGAAAACACTAACCTCAAAAAAATTTGCTTTATTGATTACAAATTTTATAAATATGAAGAAATTGTTAAATAATTTTATTTTAAAAACAACTTTTTTTGGACATTAAATTTGAATAATAAAATTTGTGATAATATTAATAAATATCATGTTACTTAAATAGTAGTTTAAATATTTTTTATTTTATTAAGGAAGCTCTCCGGCGCCAGTGGAGCTCAATAACAACCTGTTCTCTATACATATAAGAATAACTTATCCCTCAAAAGAAATAGTTGAGAACATTTTCCTGTTTCCCTAACCCTCTGTCAAGTGCAGAAGTGCAAAATTTGTAATTGTGCGCAGCTTTTTAAGATACGGCAACAGTGTAGAACGGCTGACTATAAACAGCTGACACAAGTTGGTTTATCGCAAGAAGAACATAACCTATTTTTTATGTTTTAATTTCGTGCTACCATGCGCGCGTTTCATACGAACAGTGCGGTGTTGCCAAGACCCGACCAGTTGTGTTTCTCCTATTTGTCAGTTCACTAGAAAATCACTTGAATTTCGATTTTCAGATTACTGTTATTAAAAATTGAACATCGTTACCCCTATAGAATTTTATTTACTTTATATTTCTCTAATTTGCCCCTACAATATACTAGTTTATGAGAAAAAGTTATCACGTACTTTCGGAGAAAATAAATAAAATCTGTCATTTTCAACGTTCAGGTTAGGAATCCTATGTTAAATATTACAACTTTGAAGTTAAATATCTCAATTTTTAACATCGCAAGCGATATTGAAACTTTTACCACGCATACAGGATATAAAAATGAGCATTCCTCAAAGTTTTAGAAAAATCTATCACAAATCGATTTGCCGGAGAATTTCCTTAAAGGGTGTCGTTCACTGTTTTCATACTATACATTTTTAAATTAATGTTCTAAACTCTTATCAAAGTGTTTTTTTAATTTTAAACTTATGTACTATTAATCGAAATCTTTTATTTGAAATTTATTTTATAACTAAATCTTGAATAAATTCCGATAAAGGAGGTTCAATCCATTAACATAACCTCAAACTAAAAAGTAGTTTTTAAGGAGGGTGGCGGGTCAACATAACCTTAAAAACCTGTCAAAACTAAAAAATTGTTTTTAACGCAAACAAAAATATAATAAAATATTAATTTCAAACAATTTTAGAAGATCTAGATTTTGCTCCTTTCGAAAAAAATTATTTTTTTCCAAAATATTTTGTCAATAATTATTTTTTTAACATTTAGTTTATTTTTCTTTTAAATCAGACAAAAATTGCAATTTTTAACCAATTTTTATAAACAAAGCTGATTTTACTAAGTGAAACATTCTCTACAATTGTTACCTTGTTTATATTATAATAAGTATGTTCTTAAAAAGTTATAAACAATTAAAATTTTATTTATTAAATAACTTTTTAAGAACATACTTATTATAATATAAAAAAGGTAACAATTTGTAGAGAATGTTTCACTGAGTAAAATGAGCTTTTGTTTATAAAAATTGGTTAAAAAATGCAATTTTTGTCTGATTTAAAAGAAAAAAAAAACTAAATGTTAAAAACATAATTATTGACAAAATATTTTGGAAAAAATAATTTTTTTCGAAAGGAGCAAAATCTAGATCTTCTAAAATTGTTTGAAATTAATATTTTATTATATTTTTGTTTGCGTTAAAAACAATTTTTTAGTTATGACAGGTTTTTGAGGTTATGTTGACCCGCCACCCTCCTTAAGGCCAGGTCCAAGTCGTGTCAGCAGTTCCATTGAAACTTCAAAGGAACAGCTGACTCGACTTGGACCTGGCCTTAACAGAACTAAAAATATATTTAAAATTTATTACACCCAAATTCGACAGATCCAATAATTGTACAATTTTGGAAAAAAATGATTTTGAGTTAAAATTTGTTGTTAAATAATAATTAATAAACATTTTGTATTTTTTCTTAAAAGTTAGTGAACAATTATAATTTTTATCCAATTTTTATAAACAATGGCTCATTTTTCTCTTTGAAAGATTCTCTACAATTCTGATTTTGTGTTTTTGTAAAATAATGGTTTGTTTAAAAAATATAAAAAATAAAAATTTTATTTGTTTATTAACTTTTAAACAAAATATTTTTAATACAATTCAACAAACAGAATTGTAGAAAATCTTTCAAAGAGCAAAATGAGCGATTGTTTGTATAAGAATTGCATAAAAATTAGAATTGTTCACTAACTTTTAAGAAAAAATACAAAATATTTATAAATTATCATTTAACAACAAATTTTAACTCAAAATAATTTTTTTCCAAAATTGTACAATTGGTTTTTTTTTTATATTTTAGTAAACAAAAAATTTTTTTTAAAATAATTTACAAAATAAAAATAAATAATATTAATAAAAGCATTTCCTCTTAATAAATTTTATAAATTTTATATATATATATATATTAAATTAAATTTTATTTTGTATAGTGGGAGTCGTGAAGTCATAATAAATTCTAACAATGAAATAAGGAAATGGTTGTTATCTAATAAAAGACACGTTGCTATACGTTCTTGTAGAAAGTAATAAAGCACTTTCACCGAGAATAATAATCAGAGTATAATAAATAAAAAAATATTGTTAATTTGAAAGAAAAAGGTGCAGTTTCAATAGAAAGTTATTGGTTATGTAAGGGGGATTTTTTAATATATCAAATATATATATATATGAAAAATTATGTTTCTTAACGTCCTTGACATTGAACAACAATGGATACGAAAATTGTAAAAATCATAATCATTTTTAATATAATTTCTTTCAAAAAAATTTTTAATTTCTACAATTTTATTTGTTTTTCACTGCAAATTTTTTTTTCATGATTCTAAATAATAGTTCGTGTGGATTTTCAAAAAAATTTTATTTCATAAAAAAGATGGAAAAAAATGAATTGAAATTTTATATTAATCTTTCCTTTTAAATATTGAACTACTTTAACAATTTTATAATTATTTTTCATTGATAATTTTTTTTACACGCTTCTTAATTATTTTTTAAAATCTCTCGTAAGGATTATAAAATTTTTTTTTATGTTTAAAAAATTCAAATTCTAAAAAAATAATATTAAAACTATTATTATTATTTTTTTTATTATGAATAATGCATTAAATTAATTTATTAGAATTTTTATTTGATATAATTTCATATTACATGGAATTTTCCTTTAGTCGAATTTTGATTTCTTCGAATTATTTTTTGACAGAATTTCCATTAAACCAATTTTCCATATTAAAGAATTTTTATATGCCCATATTTACGAATTATTTGTCAGAATTTTTATTTGACAGAATTCACATTTATTCGGGAATAAACACTTCGGCGCAAACTTCAACCAATCAAAATTTTCTAAATAATTTCTGATTGGTTTAATTTTAAAATTCGCGCCCAAAAATTTCTGACTGAACTTAATTCGAAAAAATTGAGAATTCTATTAAGTAAAAATTTGATCAAACAAAAATTTCGTTAAGTAAATTTTTATTTAATTAAAAATTCTATACAAAAATAATTCGAATAAATAAAAATTTAGCTATAAAAAAATGAAATGAAATTCTATCAAATAAAAATTCAAGCAAATTAATTTTAGAAATTATTATTATTATATGCGTCTTTAAAAATTGAATTATAAAGTAAAATTTAGATAACCCGCAGGTTAAAATTTTTTAAAAAATCGTTAATTCAAAATTGATTAGTACTAGACACCTGGGGTTAAATAATAGTAGGAAGTAAAGGGTCATTATATAATAATAGATAATATAAGCCTCATTTAGATAGAAATATTATGAAACAACTTTCTCCTTTCTTTTGCTTTTATATTTTGTTAAATTTTCATAATTGCAAATAGAAAAATATTCTTATTCACCTTTTTTTTAATTCACATGAAATTATTTTCAATAAAAAGTCTATTTTTTCCTATTCTCTAAATTTCAATTAGTAAAAATTTCAAAAAAAAAAAATTTTAATTAAAATTTGAATTAGTGACTCACTTTTTGCTTTTGAAATTACCATACATATAATAAACGCATAAAAAAAAAGTTCAAATACTTTTTGTAAATTAAATTTTAAAAAAATAATTTTTTAAAAAAATTTTTTTTTTTTTTTTGCATTAGTAAAAAGAACATAACAGGTGATTGAATTGGAATAAATTAAATGATATAGTTAAGAAATTTCTGAATATATAATTGATATTATGTGATATGAAATTATTCAATGAATTTTTGGAGGAGAGGCAAAAGAAAGGAAACGGCGGTAAGTTAGTAAATAAGCCAGGGTCTCGGTGAAAGACAACAATTTAACCGACCACGACAATTGCAACGTGACTTGAAAACCACGTGACTCTTTTAACCAATGAAAATGGTTTTAGAAATCCGTGGTCACGTTGCACTCGGTGTGGATCGACCCCCTCCTTTGCCCCGCGCTTTTCCGTTTTTGCCTTTCCCCCCCTTCCCTTCATTTCCCCTTGAACATTAGCTTCAAGGTGTATTCGAGTATATTGCCATTTTCTGATCAGTAGTTTCTTCCTAAAAGAGTGAATTTATTATTATAGTGAGTGTATTTTTAATATTTTTGTTTCTTACATAAAAAAAATTACATCACACTCACAGACATGTGGAAACGGTGATTCAAATTCCCGGGCAATTCAGTGTATAGTAAAGAAGTAGTGCTTACTAGTGCGCTTCACTTTTCTATTTGTCAAAAGAATTTTTCTTTTTACTAACAAATTTTTTTAGAATTTTAAAAATTAATTTATTTATTTAAAACTCACTATATTTGTGTTTTTGAAATTTTTTACTTTTTAATTTAAAAAAAAATTTTTTTTTTCCAAAAACTGAAATTAAAAAAAAATATATAGTGCCAGTGAAGAGAAAATATTAATGAACATTTTTTTGAAAAGAAGACTTGGATTATCCGCAATTTTGTAGGTTTGATGTTTGCAGTTTGATGAAGATTTTAAAACGTCATATGCATTTTTTCACGGAGGATAATTGTTGTAAGTGTATACTTTGAGATAGTGTCTGTGATTGTGTGTGTGTGTGGGGGGGGGGATTTTTGTACTATGTATATAAATTTAAACAAAATTGTTGTCAGCTAAATTACACCCGATGGTTAAGCTTCAATTTATTTTAAAATAGTTTAAATATAAACAAAATGATTTTTATAAAAGAAAAAATAGAAAATATTTTTTAAAATTGAAAGTTCGAATTCATTTTTTATTTAATTTTTCAAATATTTTTATTTCAGTTTATAAAATAGTTTAATGAGAATGACATTTTATATTAATAATAATAATAATAAATAATAATTTTCAGGCTATATGTTCTGTATTTTTCAATTTTTTTAATTTTTAAGAATTTTTATATATTAGTGAAATAGTTTTATCATCTCTTTAATGAAATTTCTCATAAATTTTAAAAATCTTTAATATGAAATAATTAGCAAAAAATTCTGTCTACAAATTATTTTTGAAGAATTTTTTATATAATTTAAAAAATAAAAAGGAATGAAAAAATATTTAAGAAAATATTTTTTTCCTTTTTTTTGACAAATTATTATAAAAACAAATGAAATTTAATATATTTTAATTAAAATGTTAAAAAAATATAATATTATAAAATCATTGTAATAAATTCACTAAAAATTTGAATAATTAAAAATTTTAACTTTTTTTAAAAAAATAATTTTACATATTAACTAGGTAGTAAAAAAAAACAAACTATTTCACACTAATTCTTTGGTAAAACTCAACTAATAGCAACAAAATTATTCATTAATTTATATTAGTTAGAAGTTTTACTAATTCAGAATTAGAAAGAACAAATAATTTTTATAATTTCAAATTTAATTCAAGTTTTTGATTGAAAAAAAATTGATGACAGAGAATTATTATTTTTATAATTTTATTATTATTATTATTATTATTATTATTATTATTATTAAAAAAAAGATAATTTAAAATATTTATTTTTGTGTAAATTAACAAATTCCTTTACGCACATGTACATCAATGTATTATTATTATTATTATTATTAGTCCTAGTTGAATTAATTAATTAATGTGCTCCTGCTATCTCTCACGTGGTAGTACACGTTGCGTGTGTTGAAATATTTTGCAGGTGAGAGAAAGCAATAATCCTTAAATACTTGTATACATTAAAACCCATGATATTTTATGAACTTCTGGGATGCATATGAATATTCCCTGTCGAAATTTTTCTGGTGTCGAATTTTTATTTAGCAGAATTTTATAAAATTGATTTTACAATGAGCCTAATTTTCATATTGAAAAATTTCTATTTAACTAAATTTTGCTTTAATAGAATTTCTATTTAACAACTTTTTTATATCAGATTTTCTAATATATTACATTTTTATTTAATATACAATTTTCGTTAAACAAAATTTATATGTCTAGCAAAATTTTTATAAAAAAGCATTTTTATTTATCAGAATTGTTTTTTTTATCATATTTCTGTTTATTAAATTATTATTAATATATTATTATTATTATTATTATTATTATTAGTATTATTATTGTCATTTAACGGAAATTCCACTTAACTGAATTTTTAAGTGAGAAAATTTTTATTTCGCCGAAACTCCATTTGACCGAACTTTCACTTGTGCGAATTGTCATTTGATAGAACTCCCGGTAAGAAGTCTTGCATTAAAAATTATAGGAAATTTTCAATTCCTAAAAAATTTTTTTTTCTAATCCACAACGAGGTATCAGGAGAACAAAATTACAATTCCTTTCCATGACAGCTGAAATTGAAATATAACAAAACATAACCTCGATTAAAATTGAAGCATATTGTTATACTTCAATTTTAATCGAGGTTATGTTAATAATAATAAGATGATATTTATATCTAATATTTAGAATTTATATATATATATACTAGGGAGGCTCCGCCCCCCTGCGCGCTTTGCGCGCCAACCCCCCTTTTTTAATCATTTTTTTTTTAATTTTCCATTGATCTTATTTTTCCAAATGAACCACCTATTTCAAAGAATTATTATTACAAATTCATTGAAATCTGAATAAATATTATTAAAATTAAAATTATTAAATTTTAATTAATAAATTAATTAAATTAAGAATAAATAAATAATTAAATAAATTATAATCGACATTAAGAAATTATTTTTAAAAATAATTTCATTGAAATTGCCTAAAAACCAATAAATTATTAAAAAGACTTGAAACGAACATAACCTTTAAATTCAAGTCATTTTTGGCGGGAAATCCAACTCCACTTGCGGCTATATTGAAAGTCTTGAAATTTACATAACCTCAAAATTTATGTCATTTTTGGCGGGAAATACAGAGAGAGATGAGGAAAGGAGGAAGGACTTACTACTTTATTAAGGTCTTAAAAAAAACATAACCTCAAAATTTAGGTCATTTTTGGCGGAGGAGGGGAAATGACAGGAGGGAGGGGGGACTTGCGGCTACATTCAGAGCCTTGAAACGAACATAACCTCAACATTTAGGTTATTTCTGGCGGGGGAGGGGAGGGGACTTGCGGTTATATTCAGAGTCTAAAAAAGAACATAACCTCAAAATTAGGATGGGGGGACTCCCCCCCTCCTAGGTAAAAATTTCTGAAACAGCGGCGGCGGCGAAATCTTTTTATCGCTGAAACCGAATATGACCATGAAAAATTTTTTTGCCGACACATTTTCCCGCAAACACCCCCTTGCACCTACTCACAGGGGTTGGAGTTTCAAATTAAAAAAAAAATTGAGTAGGGTGTTTATTCCAATGTTTTTTGGGTCGCTAAATCCGAAAAACACCACTAAAAACAAATCCTTCCTTCCCTTAACCCCGTACAACCCTCTGGGAGGGGGTTAAAATTTTAAATTTCACAAAAAGTTAAGTTCGGTGTCTAATCCTACGTTTTTTGGGGCGCTGAAACCGAAAAATGCCACCAAAAAGAAGTCCTTTCCTCCCTTAACCCCCTGAGATGGGGTTGGAATTTCAATTTTACAAAAAGTCGAGTACGGTATCTATTCCTATGTTTTTTTTTGGTCGCTAAAATCAAAAAACACCACCAAAAACAAATCCTTTATCTCCTTAATCCCCTACAACCCCTGGGAAGAGGATGAAATTTCATTTTTCACGGCGCTAAGTGTAGAAAAATAAATTTCCATAAGACTTTGTAGGTGCGTATTTGTGTAATCATAGGTAACTTTTTAGAAAACTTTATTTTTGGTGATGTTTTTTGGTTTCAGCAACCCAAAAAACATAGGATTAGACACCGTACTCGACTTTTCGTGAAAAATGAAATTCCAATCCCCTCCCAGGGGTTGTAGGGGGTTAAGGGGGTAAAGCATTTGTTTTTGGTGGTGTTTTTTGATTTCAGCGACCAAAAAAACATAGAAATAGATACCGTACTTGACTTTTTGTAAAAATTGATATTCCAACCCCTTCTCAGGGGGTTGTAGGGGGTTAAGGGAAGAAAAGACTTATTTTTGGTGATATTTTTCGGTTTCAGCGCCCCGAGAAACGTAGGATTAGACACCGAACTTGACTTTTTGTGAAATTTAAAATTTTAACCCCCTCCCAGAGGGTTGTAGAGGGTTAAGGGTGTAAAGGATTTGTTTTTGGTGGGGTTTTTTGATTTCAGCGACCAAGAAAACATAGGAATAGATACCATACTCGACTTTTTGTAAAAATTGAAATTCCAACCCCTTCTCAGGGGGTTGTAGGGTGGTTGAGGGAGAAAAGGACTCGTTTTTAGTGACGTTTTTCGATTTCAGCGCCTCAAAAAACGTAGGACTAGACACCGAACTTGACTTTTTGTGAAATTAAAAATTTTAACCCCCTCCCAGAGGGTTGTAGGGGGTTAAGGGGGTAAAGGATTTGTTTTTGGTGGTGTTTTTTGATTTCAGCGACCAAAAAAACATAGGAATAGATACCGTACTCGACTTTTTGTAAAAATTGAAATTCCAACCCCTTCTCAGGGGGTTGTAGGGGGTTAAGGGAGGAAAAGACTTGTTTTTGGTGGCGTTTTTCGGTTTCAGCGCCCCAAAAAACGTAGGATTAGACACCGAACTTGAATTTTTGTGAAATTTAAAATTTTAACCACCTCCCAGAGGGTTGTACGGGGTTAAGGGAAGGAAGGATTTGTTTTTAGTGGTGTTTTTCGGATTTAGCGACCCAAAAAACATAGGAATATGGGGTTGTGTTTTTTGGGACCTGACTTTTTTTTGTGTGCCTGTGTTATTAAAGAAACTAAAAAAAGTTTTGAAATAACAAAATTTGTTTTTTCATAATAAGTTTCGTCGTTGCGAAATACTTATTTTATTTAAAGTCATTGTAAAGTTAAAAAATAAAATAATTAAGGACAAATTTTGTAAAAGTTACTCAACAATAATTTTTTTAAGATAAAGACATTTTGGACAGTATAAAATGTTGATTTTTGTATTTTTTTTTTTAACTTCTGAACTGTAAAATTACATTATAAATAAGAAATCAAAAAATTTCGTAAACTACCTGCTTGAATGATTTTGTTTAATTTAACACAGTGTGTATTGTAAGATTTATTTTAATATATGGTAAATATCCATCACTTTCATTTAAAAATATTATTTGTTTGAATAAAAAAATTATATGTTTGATTTAAATTTAATGGTTAGTTTAGAATGGGCGCATATAAATTACCCGCACTGAAATTTCCATGGAACGTCCGAAATATGACATATCTTTACAGTTTTGACACCTGCCTCACCCTGCTTTTCTCTATTCTAGTTCCCCGCCCTGCATCGAAAAAAGCTATCATTTCCTGCAAAGTGTCACATTCTGTTAATAATAAAAATAAATAATAATTTCTTTAATAAAAGTTTTGTTAAATAAGAATTTCGTTACTTAAAAATTCTGTTAAATGTGAATTCAGTTAATTTAATACTGACAAGTGAATAACTGAATAAATAGAAATTCAATAAAAGAACAATTCTGAAAAATAAAAATTATTTATTATTATTATTATTATATTATTTTTTATTATCTGAGATTAAAGAATGATAAAATTTTTAGGTTATGTTACCAGAATTGTTTCCTATATTTTGAGAAGCTGAAAAACTTTTAAACTATATAAATTATATTCTATTCAAAAATATAATAAAATATAGAATTGTATTAACTTTTGTTTCGATTGTGTGTCCAGTTATATGCCTTAATAATTGAAATTTGCATACAAAGTACTTAAAACTTTATGAGTAAATCTAAAGTTAGATTGTAAATTAAATTAATATCATGTCGATTAAAATCAAGATCTTTTATTTGAAAATAAAAATAATATATAAGTTAATTTAGAACTTTAATTAAAATCATAACAGATAATATAAAACATTCGCGTGAAGGGGAGACGAGAGATTTCTATTTTGTATTCAATTTTCAAGGGGTTTGTAATGTATACACACAATCGTAATTGGATAATTAGAGATATATATATTTTATTGTATACTTCACAATATTAAAAGAAATATATTAATTTTTTTTTCTATTTTCTTTTAAAATTGTCTCCTTATCTTTTAATGAGACGCATGAATAAGCTCTAAAATTAATTTGTTAGAATTTTCAATTTACAAAATTTCATTTATCTAGAATTTACTTCTAGTCGAATTTTTATTTCTTTCAATTTTATTATTTAACAAAAATTTCATTTCACCGAATTTCTATAAATTATATACAATATAATTATAAATAAATAAATAAATAAATAATTTAATTATAAATTCACATATGTAAAAGGTAATTTTTTTTATTATCAATATTGTTTGTTTTGTTTGATAAAATTATTAAAAAAAAGAAAATATAATAAAAATTCTCCACACAAACATAAATATATATACATTATATTTGAAATTTTTGGTAGATATATCGTGTTTTTTTTAAAGCGAATAATGGTTTTTGAAATAGAGTGTTCAAAAGTTTGAGTGTCATTTTATGGTAATTAAAGTTGCTGCGTTTAAATATGTATATGTTATATTACATATGGATATGTTAATTTTACCCTGGACGATGGAGACGAAAGAACGCGAATGCATTCATTTTCTGCATGCAGGTTTTCAACGGTGCCAACGGGACTGTTGATTCTCGCTTATCCGACGTGTTAGTCAGATTTTCATGTACATACCTATATATATAATATAAACCATATAATATTCGCGCTATTTTTTACGTGCTCATATATATTATACGAAAATACAAACCACAAGAAAATGTTAATTTTTTACATTATGGTATAAAAATGGAAATTTTACCATATTATATTAAATTATGGTAATTAAAAATTCAAATTAATTACACGCAGAGAAAAAAAATCTCCAGAGTTAAAAGAAAATATTTTTTTTCAATTTGGTTCATGTAAAATTTTTTATTAATTTCAAATAATATATATTTTTTTAAATAAATAGTTACTTTGTTCTGTGACAAATAAATAAATATATTTTTATTTAACCTTAGACCCCACACAGCACCCAAAATTCCCTGAAACTTGACAGAACCTCACATATGGCAAGGTTAGGAAACTTTAGTGGCAAGGTTCATACAAGTTTGTGTCGATGTTTAAATGTCCACATAAAAAGAATATTCACACGAAACTTTGAGGAAATATTAAACATGAATATTCACGTGCAATGTTCAGTCAATGTTGTGTCAATATTGAAATTACATTTTCGCCTAGTTATAAAAATTTCATTTACTAATATAATAAGTATAGGTGAATATTGACACAACATTGACTGAACATTGCACGTGAATATTTATAGTGTAATATTTCCTCAAAGTTTCGTGTAAATATTCTTTTCATGTGGACGTTTAAACATCGACACAAACTTGTATGAACCTTGCCACTGAAGTTTCTTAACCTTGCCGTGTGAGGCTCTGTCAAGTTTCAGGGAATTTTGGGTACTGTGTGGGACAGTACAACACAGCTGGCCCAAATCCCATACGATTTGTAAGGCCAGGTCCAAGTGAGGCAGCGCCATCTACATTGATACTAAAATTTTGGAAAATTTTCAACAGCCTTTTCTTGAAAACAAGATGGTAAACTGCTTTTTCCTTTATAGATAATTGATTATTGGCAAGATATATACCAGCTAAAACTTTTTTTGAGTTAAAATAATGAAAAAAATTTCATGTCAATAAATTAAATATGAGCACTTTTTTCACAAAAACTGTAACAGTACTTTCTCAGAAATTACAATCAAAAATGCAATTTCCATTTGGAAAATTAATAAACGCTAAAAAATACACCACCTAAGATTTACCAATCACGAAAATAAGAAAAAAAAATTTTATTAAATATTTAACATATTGATACTGCTTTACTGATTGTGACAGCCCTTTGGTAGATTATGTATTTCAGGTGGTTAGCAACAGCGCCAATCTCCTCCTTTCGGCAAAACTGCGAAACGTCTGGTGACATATATAACATAACCTGCCCATCGGCTGTCATAATGAGTAAAATATGTTATGTTAAAAAACTTTTTTTTTGTTATTTTCGTGTTTGGTAAATCTTAGGTCGAGTATTTTTTAGCGTTTATTAATTTTCCAAATAGAAATTGCATTTTTGATTGTAATTTCTGAGAAAGTACTGTTACAGTTTTTGTGAAAAAAGTGCTCATATTTAATTTATTGACATGAAATTTTTTTTATTATTTTAACTCAAAAAAAGTTTTAGCTGGTGTATATCTTGCCAATAATCAATTATCCATAAAGGAAAAAGCATTTTACCTTCTTGTTTTCAAGAAAAGGCTGTTGAAAATTTTCCAAAATTTTAGTTTCAATGTAGATGCCCAGTCGAAAATCCTACGCTATGTTAAGCTGAACAAAAAGTTGTTTTGAAGTATTGAGATAACCATTAGAGAATTGTGAGACAGTAGATAACTAGCTATAGAAAACTTTCAGGAAGCCTGTTATGGCCGATTTTTCGCTTCCACAGAAAGCTTGAAAATAACAAATTTTGTACGTTTTAAACAAAGCATTCAAGTAGCTTTGACAGAGTTATCAAAGAGTTGCAGGATTTTGCATATGTAAAAAGAAAGCGTTCAGGTGGCGAAAATTAAATGAAGCGTCATGGATGTTTCAGGAAACAGCGGAAAAATGACAATGATCAAAAATTAAATTTAACCTTTCTTTCCATCTTTATTTATCTCGTAAAAATATTGTTGTCAACCAAAATTTGTAAATAAAAATACGCTGTTAAATTCATTTTCATAAATTATGAAATTCTAAAAGAATAAAGAATATATTATTTATAAAAAATATTAATAAATATCAAGTATAAAAATAATAATCTTTTTTTTTAAATATTAAATATTTTGTCTTTTTTTTAAGAAATTGTATTCATTATTCAATATAAAAAGTTTTCACCGTGTTCGTATTCCTTAACCCCAAATTTTGCTCAAGTTATATATAATTTTTTTCGTATATAATTTAAGTGTTTAAAAATAAACGTTTTCTTTGAAAAATAATTTTTATATAATATATAAAGAATAATTATTAATTGTATAAAACGGATTTACAAATTACTATAGAATTTTTATAATTTTTCAATATAGTTTAATTTAATGAAATTATTCTAGTTTTCAGAAAGTGTAAAAAAGGTAATTAAATTACATATTAATTTGCAACTTGTGAAAAGCAAATAGAATTGCTTTCTTACACATTAAACCAGGCATTAGGAAAGCATTCACCAAGCAAACTGGTAGACCTTTTGCTAGAAGCTGTCCACAGATATTCAACAAGCTGTAGAAAAAGCTTCCCGTTAATAAGTCAGAAAGCAAATATCACAGAATTTTAGGTCTAATGTATAAATAGTTGCCATGAAGCTTTTGAAACCTTCATAACAGTTACCTGAAGGCCATGTGAACCCTTCAGGGAAACTTACGATTTTCGACTGGGTGGCGCTGCCTTACTTAGATCTGGCCTTAATAAAATATATAAAAGTAAATAATCGCCGCTAGGGTAAAAATTGTTAGTTCAATTAAACTGAATTAAGGTTAGAGTGCCGCCATGGCAGTTATGACGCACTCACACCTTTTTGACTGCCTGCCTGCAGGTTACCATGGCAACGCACGAGTGTGAGTGAGACAGAAAATTTGAATATTCAATTTTTTAAATTTTTTATCGTACTCACTCTCAAGCGTTGCCATGGTAACCTGCAGGCAGTCAAAAAGAGCGCCTTTAAGCTCACAGAACCAGGGCCGTAGTTTGATTTTTCTCTGGGGTAATTTTTTACCCCAGTTGTACTCAGTACTGTCTAGGATTAATTCAAATTAAATTATATCTATCAAATTTTTGATTACTAATTAATTTCTAATTTCAATTAGAAACTATTCAACTTTTGAAAAATTTGAATTTTTAAATTTGTTACAATTCTTAAATAAAAATTTGATTTACATAAATAAATTTCATAAAGTATTCGAAATTTCTTTGTTTCAGTTTTACACTTTCTCTGAAAGTCTGAATCGTTTGTCAAGAAAACATGGATATATTGACAAATATTTATTCAATTTAGAATAAACTTTAAATTTGACATATATATATATATATATATCTCACTTTTGAATTTTCATATACATATAAAAGAAGATGTAGTTGTTTCTAAAATAAATTATGAAGAGAGGAATATAAAAATAAAGAATAAATTATTGTATATATATATCGAAAAAAAGTATAATATCTTATAATAATTAATTGGATTATGACATTATTTTCTCACTATATTGTTAAGTTGTTGGTGAAGGGGTCAAGAAATGACAGGAAGTCGAAGTAGTGATATAGGAACTGGAGCAATAAAAATACAAAAAGATGGCCACAAGCATACTGTTCATTGGTTCAGAAAAGGGTTGAGACTCCATGATAATCCTTCATTTCAAGAAGGTCTTATAGGTGCTTCTACTTTTCGATGTGTCTTTGTCCTTGATCCTTGGTTCGCAGGAAGTACCAACGTCAGCATTAATAAATGGAGGTATAATACTAAAATTTCAACAAAAAAAACTGTTCATTTTCTGTTAATAATAATCAATTAATATTATATTACCTCCATGAACTTGGCGTAGACGCTCAGCACCGAAAATTGTTTTTCAATGGACCAAAAATATCAAATTATTTTTTTTTTTTTAAGATTTTCGGTCCAAATAATGCTTTGAAAAATACTTTTCAAGTGGACCTATAAAACATTTTTAAAAATGATATGATATATTTGGTCCTGTGAAAAATAATCTTTAACGCTGAGTGTTATAACGCCAATTTCATGAAGATATTATATTTAATTACCCTGGCGGATTGTATGAAGCGAATGCTCCACGAAATTGATGGAGCATTCGTGGAACACGAGGTTGAGATTGAAATTTTGTCTCAAATTTATAAAAAAATGATGAAATATATAGTTAAATGATTAAAACAATAAGATTTATGTTTTTTATGATGATTATTGTTAAATAATTATAAAAATTTAATGTTTTTATTAATTTCAATGTATTACAGTTTATTATGATCATTAGTCGATAAAATCAATATAGCCGCGCTTAATAGGTAGGTAGGTAACAGCAATCTTTTTTTCCTTTCCTTAAATTTTTTCAGCAATTTTTTATCAAAAGCAAATCTTTTATTCGCTAAAATGAAATATTGGTAAAAAAATGTATTATTTTATCATAAAATTAATATTTTAATCAAAAATATTGATTTAAATAAAATATTAATTATTTTCACCAATATTTTTAATAAAAAAATTAATTTTTTTCAGCTATATTTTGATAAAATAATTCATATTTTTAAACAATAATTCCTTTATAAATATTAATTTTTTTCAATAATAATTTTGATAAAACAATTATTAAATTAATAACTTCTTTTTTGATATTTAAAACAATATTTTGTAATAAAATTCGTACTTAAAGGAGTTGAAAAAAAAATTTCGTTCTTTTGAACGTTCAAACATTAGGCTCATAAAAATCCCAAAAATTATCTTGACCTAGCACAGCATCCGCTTGACTAATCAAAAAGTGCGCCATCATTTTTTGTTCCTGACTTTTTGCTCATTTTTTGGCGGTATTGCGGAACGATTACCTCGCAAATTTAATTTTTCTAAATTTTTTCCAAATTTGTTTTCTAGTGAAGCTCAGCATCTGCTGGACCAATCAAAAAGTGCGGCATACATTTTTTGTTTGAAACTTTTTCCTTATTTTTTTTTGGCGGTATTCCGGAGCCGTTATCTCGCAAATATAATTTTTCGAAAATTTTTCCAAAATCTTTTTGAGTGTAGGTCAGCATCCGCTGGACTAATATAAAAGTGCGCCATACATTTTTTGTTTGAAACTTTTTCCTTATTTTATTGGCGGTATTCAGGAACGATTATCTCGCAAATTTAATTTTTCTAAATTTTTTCCAAAATCTTTTTGAGTGTAGCTCAGCATCCGCTGGACCAATCTAAAAGTGCGCCATACATTTTTTGTTCAAAACTTTTTCCCTATTGTTTTGGTGGTATTCCCGAACGATTATCTCGCGAATTAAGTTTTTCGAAAATTTTTCCGAATTTGTTTTCTAGTTTAGCTCAGCATCCGCTTGACCAATCAAAAAGTGCGCCTTACATTTTTTTTCCCGACTTTTTGCTCATTTTTTTGGCGGTATTCCGGAACGATTACCTCGCAAATTTAATTTTTCTAAATTTTTTCCAAATTTGTTTTCTAGTGTAGCTCAGCACCCGCTGGACCAATCAAAAAGTGCGCAATACATTTTTTGTTCGCTACTTTTTGCTAAAGAATTTGGCGGTATTACCAAACGATTATCTCGCAAATTTAATTTTTCTAAATTTTTTCCAAATTTGTTTTCTAGTGTAGCTCAGCATCCGCTGGACCAATCTAAAAGTGCGAAATACATTTTTTGTTCGAAACTTTTTCCCTATTTTATTGGTGGTATTCCTGAACGATTATCTCGCAAATTTTATTTTTTGAAAATTTTTTCAAAATCTTTTTGAGTGTAGCTCAGCATCCGCTGGACCAGTCAAAAACTGCGCCATATATTTTTTGTTCAAAACTTTTTGACTATTTTTTTGGCGGTATTCCGGAGCAGTTATCTCGCAAATTTATTTTTTTGAAAATTTTTCCAAAATCTTTTTGAGTGTAGGTCAGCATCCGCTGGACCAGTCAAAAACTTCGCCATATATTTTTTGTTCGAAACTTTTTGACTATTTTTTTGGCGGTATTCCGGAGCAGTTATCTTGCAAATTTATTTTTCCGAAAATTTTTTCAAAATTAGGTCAGCATCCGCTGGACCAATTAAAAAGTGCGCCTTACATTTTTTGTTCGATACTCCCTGGTTTAGACTTTGATTGTATTTCGGAAGAATAATCTCAAAAATTAAATTTTTCCAAATTTTTTCCGAATTCGTTTTCTAATGTAGTTCAGCAACCGCTGAACCAATCAAATAGTGCACCATACGTTTTTTGTTCAATACTTTTGTCTACTGACTTTAATGGTATTCCGGAGCGATTATCTCGCAAATTAAATTTTTCCAAAATTTAGCTAAGTGTAGCTCAGCATCCCCTGGACCAATTAAAAAGTGCACCATATATTTTTTGTAGACAACGTTCGTGTTAAGACTTTGGTGCTATGCCGGAATCATTATTCCGACAAGAAGGCTGTAATTTAAAAGAATTAAAAAAATCAATTCCATTTAATACCTGATTTTTTTGTTATTTCGTAATGTCTATGTAAGGAATAGACAGCAGCCGACTTGAATCCCTTTTAATTCCGTTTTTGTAAAGCGTGCAATATGAAATAGAATATATTTGAATTAATTCAATACGTTTTATTAATAATTTATTTATTGAAAAAAATCTGAGTTATTTTTTTTACTCATAATCTACATTATTCCCATAAAAAAGTGAAGACGACTATTTTATATTCAATGAATAACCTAAAAAAATGTTGAGACAATATATTTGTTCAATTTTTGATGCCTCACGTTTCAATTTTTTAAAAATTTTTACCAACATCATATTCACTGTAAATTTCTTATTATTTTCACATTGAACAGAAAAAACACAACAAATTTATTCACTATTATTTCTAAATAAAATCATGAGCGAATTATTTTCGATGCACAAAAATATGTCCAATTGTCATTATAATAGAAAGCACACTTGCCGACTTTTACGTAATGCAAAACGAATTTTAGAATTAAGTGGAATTCATTTCTTTGGCCATCTATTTTATTTCGATGACTTTGAAAAAGTGGAAAAATCAGGTATTAAATGGAATTAAAATTTTTCAATTTTCGTATACAAATATGAGATAACTTAAATTTTTTTCTATTCCATACTTCTTGCCGGGATGTCGAAGAATTAAAAAAATTACAAAATTAATTTAGACTTATAAAATAATACATTTTTTTGACCAATATTTCAGTTTAACAAATAAAAGATTTTCTTTTTTAAAAAAATTACTGGAATTATTTAAGGTAAGGAAAAAAAAGTGCTGCCACCTAACTTCTAAAAAGCGCAGCTATAATGATTTTATCGACAAATGTTCATAATAAACTGTAATACATTGAAATTAATAAAAACATTAAATTTTTATAATTATTTAACAATAATCATCATAAAAAACATAAATCTTATTGTTTTAATCATTTAACTATATATTTCATCATTTTTTATATATTTGAGGCAAAATTTCAATCTTAACCTCGTGTTCCAGGAGTGTTTCGCTAATTTCGTCGAGAATTCGCATCATACAATCTGCAAGGGTTACTATAGAATTGCACGTTTATCGTGTGCATGTTGGCACAAAAAAATTTAAATTTTTGAAAAGCAAATGTGAGTTTGATTCGTGAACAATGTCCCCAAAGATTTATAGATACTAAGTTTTATAAAAATATAAAAATTTTTAAAAAAAGGCCATATTGGTTCCACCATTTTGAAAATTTAACTTCAGATTCGTAATCATTGACCTCAAAAACCCCCGTGATTTCAAGTCCTGACGTATAGTGGAGCAAATCTGACTTCAAATATGTTGAAAAATCATATTCACATTTGCATTTTAAAAATTTCAATTTTTTGTGGTCCTTTGTAATTATACAAATTATATACTTTCATAGAAAATATCAATAGGGTAATCGGTACAATGATTGGCCGTCTTGATGAAATATAAATATAATAAGAAAGAACTAACATCAAATCATTTTTCAATTTATGCTTAATAAACTTCACACAATTACGCTGCGATCATTTCAGTCGGGATTATCTGGTCCTTCATTATTAATTTAAATTTAATTATTTATTTACGTGTTCTGAAAACAAAGTTTGACAGCAAAGAATACCATGGTGATCAGTAGTGTACCCTAATAAAAGATTAGAAATTTTTTAGTGTAAAAATATGTTTTTAAGAAAATTTGTTCTTATATAAACTTGCAGTGGTTACAAATACACGATAAAATAGTTTTTTATTTAAAAATATAACGTTTTTTTAATTTATTGGGAGGCCAATAATACCCTCTTTGAATTGTACGAAAATACAATGATTGGCCATGGTGGCTAAAGAGGCCAATGACTGTAGTTTTCAAAAATATTGTAAAATATTATCAAACATTTTTTACAACACTTAAATATTTGTTTTTAATAAGTCTGTTTATGTAAAAATGTTAAATAACCTTAAATTACAATTTTTGGCCACGGCCAATCATTGTACAACGATAGGGGCCAATAACTGAAAATTCAACATTTTATTTTGCCACCAGTGTCGCCTCTGTTGCTTTCAAAAAAGTACAGGTTATACCTATAATTCTAATAACTTCATGTTAATAGGAAAGGTGGCCAATCATTGTATTTAAAAACTTACAGAGGCCAATGATACAATTATTGGCAACTGCCAATCACTATGTTTTTAAGGCCAATAAATGTATTTTCTGACATTTGCATTATTTTCTTAACATATCTGCGTTATTTAAAATTTTCCTATTTTTTTCTAATTACTAATATTTAAAATAGAATAAATTTATGGGCGATTAGTGTTTCTCAAATATTTTTTTGACATATGGTGTGAATTCGACAGTAAGTCAAACATAAAAATTTTCTTAGGGGGGCCAATCATTGTACCGATTACCCTAATTAATATTTTTTATGAAAGTATATGATGACTTTTTTATGTTTTTGGGATTGCTGTAACCAAATCTGAAGTCAGTTTAACTCCACCACATCAGATGTTTAACATAATCTCAAAAAATCACAAAATTCGACTCTAAAAATTGTCAAATCGAGAAAAATTTTGATTTATAAATATTACCATATCTACTTTATGTTTTTGAGGTCGCTGAAGCCAAATCTGAAGTTTATTTAATCCCATCATGTCAGACTTTTGACATAACCTCGAAAAAAAAACATTTAAAAAATCAAATTTTGGCATTTTTCGAAGTTATGTCAAAAGCCTGATGTGATGGTGTTAAATAGACTTCAGATTTGGTTTCAGCGACCCCAAAGACATAAAGTAGACATGGTAAAACTTATAAATGAGATTTTGTTTGATTTCAAAATTTGTGTGTTAAATTTTGGGATTTTTTGAGTTTCATTCAAACAAACTAAATAAAATATTTAAATAGACTTTAGATTCGACTTCATCGACACCAAAAACATCCCAGATAGCACGGAAACTTGCAGCAAGCTTACCGTGCAAGCTTGTCAACCTTGCCGCGCAAGCTTGCTGCAAGCTTGTCTGAGCTAGCGAAATGTCCCACCCAGGGCAAGCTTGCTGTAAGCTTTCCAGGAAAGGTTGCTGCAATCTTGCCATGAAAGATTGCTACAAGATTGCTGCAAGCATACTAAGAATGACTGCGGCAAGCTTGCTACGTAAGGTTGCAGGAGAATTTCAACAAGCTTCTGGAAAGGTTGCTGCAAGCTTGCTGCAATTTTTAAAAAATACATTTTAAATTTAAAAAAAAATTATTTGTTTTCTAAATTTGAAAATCCTTGTGACGTTTATTATTTTTAATTACGTCCTGTTTATTTTCATTTGGAAACTTAACGAGAAAATTTTCGAAACAAATTTGAGGGGACTGGGAATTGAACCCGGGTTCGACAGACACTAACCAAAGACCCTAACAGAGAACCTACTCGACCAACTATCAGAATAAAAAAATCTTGCTCTTAACCCTCGTTTTTCAACTGTTTTTCAACTCATAAAAACAGTCGAGGGTTAAGAGCAAGATTTTTTTATTCTCTGATAGTTGGTCGAGCAGGTTCTCGGTTAGGGTCTTTGGTTAGTGTCTGTCGAACCGGGGTTCAATTCCCAGTCCCCTCAAATTTGTTTCGAAAATTTTCTCGTTAAGTTTCCAAATGAAAATAAACAGGACATAATTAATAATAATAAACGTCACAAGGATTTTCAAATTTAGAAAGCAATTAATTTTTTTTAAATTTAAAATGTATTTTTTAAAAATTGCAGCAACCTTGCAGCAACCTTTCCAGAAGCTTGTTGAAATTCTCCTGCAACCTTACGTAGCAAGCTTACAGCAATCTTTCACGGCAAGCTTGCCGCAGTCATTCTTAGTATGCTTGCAGCAATCTTGTAGCAATCTTTCATGGCAAGATTGCAGCAACCTTTCCTGGAAAGCTTACAGCAAGCTTTCACGGCAAGCTTGCCCTGGGTGGGACATTTCGCTAGCTCAGAAAAGCTTGCAGCAAGCTTGCGCGGCAAGGTTGACAAGCTTGCACGGTAAGCTTGCCGCAAGCTTGCTGCAAGTTTCCGTGCTATCTGGGATAAAGTAAGATAAACATAACATAAAGTTTGACTTCGAGCTTAGAACATGAAAATTTTTTTTGTGTGCCTGTCATTAAGAAACTAGCCGTTAGGCATTTAGTTTAGAATTTATATCTAGATATTATTTTTTTTCATACATTTTTTTTTTATATTTTGAATACAATCATTTATAACAATAAATAAAATAAACTTTTTTCACTGATAAAGACACTTACGTATATTTTTGGAAGATTAAAAAGAATAATTTAAAAAAAAAGTACGAAGCATTCCTGTAAATATTTATATCTGGCAAGTAAAGTGTTTTAAGTCTTTTTTTCAGTTTCATCGAATAAAATATTGCCAAAAGCATTCTTTTCAGATTTTTACTTCAATGTCTTGAGGATCTGGACCGCTCTTTGAGGAAGTTGAATTCTCGACTTTTCGTTATTAGAGGTCAACCGGCAGATGCACTGCCGAAATTATTTAAGGAATGGGGAACTACAAATCTCACATTCGAGGAAGATCCTGAACCATTTGGGCGTGTAAGGGACCACAACATCTCGGCAATTTGTAAGGAGCTCGGTATCTCAGTGATTCACAGAGCTTCGCACACTCTCTACAAATTGGACGAGTGAGTTCGTAACCAACCATATAGTCAAAGGACTATAATAATTAATTTTTAATTTTCCATATTTAATACTTCATTTTTCTTTCAAGTAATTTTATATAATTTTACATCAATTTTACTTGCAATATGGGACGCATGATTGTGTTCTAAAAATCATTAGTTAGAATTTTCATTTTTTGGAACACAGTAAACTTGGTTGTATCTTTTTCTATTGCAACGTTTTGATGCACATAAGTTATATCAAAAAGAGATCGTTTTGTGTATCATTTTTAGAAATGATACACGAAACGGTCTCATTTTTTGATGCAAAAAATTTAATCAATTTATATCAATCATGGCCGAATTGAATCGACTCAAAATTAAACGAATTTTTTTCAGATATTTTGGTAACTATGGTACAAGCATTCCGGAAAATTAGAATAGTCGGAGGTGGCGTTCGTAACGGGAAAAACCTTAAACGATTGATTTCCCTAATGAAAGTCGTCTGCTATTTTTGAAAAGTATATTATAAAATCACATAATTTCATATTTTTGAAAAATTAAGTAATTGAATAAATAGTAAATGTTAAATATGAAATATTATTTGTATTTAAAAAGTCATTTAGAAATTAATTAATTTTATTAATTTTAATGAAGTTCTTTAAAAATTCACTAACTTTAAACTTCTTTTTAATACACATTCTTTAACAATCAATTATTGTTTTTACAGTACGACGAAAGTTCGAAAGGTAGTTTAATAATAATACCTTTCCAATGGTATATTATTTTTTTTGGACAAACTATAATTTTCCTACAGGTGAATTTAAGTAACGTCACACCTCGAAAGTGTGTTTTTTTAAATTCAGCAAAATTGCACGAAGGAAAAAAATATCCAAAAATATGTTTTTCTTACTTAAAAAACACCTATTAATAAAAAAAAATGTTTCGTACAATTGGCAATTTCACTGTAAACTGGTGTGATTTATGACAATTTGAAGAGTTTTTAAAATGTTTTAAATTATTGAATTTTATTTAAATATGATTAAAAATATTTTTATTACATTTACTTTTATAAAGAATTTTAATAATTTTGAAAATAATTGAATTTCGGAAAAGTCATATATTCGAAAGATTCTTAGATTGAATTAATTCAATTTTAATAGATTTTTAATGGAAACTTTTTTACAATTAAATAGATACAGATTACTGTAAAAACAAAAAAACAATAGTTGATTGTTAAAGAATGTGTATTAAAAAAAAGTTTAAAGTTAGTAAATTTTTAAAGAACTTCATTAAAATTAATAAAATTAATTAATTTGTAAATGACTTTTTAAATACAAATATTATTTCATATTTAACATTTACTATTTATTCAATTACTTATTTTTTCAAAAATATGAAATTATGTGATTTTATAATATACTTTTCAAAAAATAGCAGACGACTTTCATTAGGGAAATCAATAGTTTAAGGTTTTTCCCGTTACGAACGCCACCTCCGACTATTCTAATTTTCCGGAATGCTTGTACCATAGTTGGGGACATTTTTCCTCTAATCGACGCATGGAGTGAAGACTCCTTATTCTTACTTCGTGCTTTTTAATTATCGAATTGCACATTGTCTTTGATTTTCTGTTATTTTCATTTTCAAATTAAATAGTGAAATGGTCTCCGCAATTGTACTATTACCAAAATATCTGAAAAAAATTCGTTTAATTTTGAGTCGATTCAATTCGGCCATGATTGATATAAATTGATTAAATTTTTTGCATCAAAAAATGAGACCGTTTCGTGTGTATAGTAATTTAAATTATTTTTTAACAATAATTTATTCCTTTTGGCACACAATCGACTTATTAGTTTAAGTAAACAAATAAAAGGAAATAATTTTTTTATAAAATGTTATTTTGAAAATTAAACTAGGTCTTAGGTGGACGGTAACTGGGACATCCACGGTAACTTATGTGCATCAAAACGTTGCAAAGATTTGATGCAATTTTTGGTCTCAAAAATCATCTCTCATTTGTCATAATTATTTTTGAGCCGAATTTTTATTTGTTTGAATTAGTATTTTACAGAATTTTCATCAAAACGATTTTCTATTTTATATATATAACCGAAAATTCACTTCACAGAATTTTTATTTGTTCCAATTTTTATTTGCCCGAATTTTCATTTAACATAATTTTTAAGCATTTTAAAGAATTTTTATTGGGTTGAATTTCATTGCATAGAATTTTCATTTTATTCTTTTAGATGAATTTACATTTTTCGAATTATTATTTGATATAATTTCTATATAGGTAACCGATCTTTCATACTACAAAATTTTTACTTAACCGAAAAATCATTTAACAGAATTTCTAATTGATAGAATTTTCATTTGTCCGAAATCAAAAATTATCCATAAAAAAAATCAATACAAGTTTTAAAAATAAGTTTTCATAGAAAAAAAAAATTCTCAATTTATTTTTGAACAAAATTATTTTGTTCCTGAATACTAGAAGAAAAATGCTTTGAAATTCATTATATAAAAGTTTATAGTATATGTTATAAATTTTAAATGGATTTAAAATCCGTAAACAAATATAAATAAACATAAAAAATACGTTATAAATTTTGTCACCCTTATATAGATAAATAATTTACTAAAATTTTAATGAAATCTAATATTTTTAAATTTTTTATTGGGACGTTTCAGGGAGAATGTCCTATATATATAGAATTTACTTACTTCTTCATACAAATTGCATATGATGCATTAATCGATCTTATCTCACGCGCGCGCGCCTATTTGTGTGTTTTCTTTCATTATTGTCAATAACTTTTATTAACGTATTAATTATTTTTATTTATTAAGAAAATATTCTTGTTTTGTCAACAAAACATTTTTTTTTTTTTTGCTAGTTGTGAAACAAATTCTTTTTTTATTCAAATAAATTTTAATCAAATATTTAGTTTTTCAATATTATTATTTTTTCTCTTCAAAAAATAATTTTAAAATAGTAAAAATAATTTAGACAAAAAAAAATTTAAAAAAAAATAAAACAAACTTTCTAAAAAACTTTAAACATTAAACAAATTTATATGAAACGTAAAAACTACTGACTCTTTTTTTCTTACACTTAATTTTTTTTTTTGGATAAATTCTAAAAATTTATCAATAACATTGTTTAAATACAAAATTTTACTAATTATTTTAAATTAAATTATTTTTTTTTCTTTTTAATTTTATCGAGAAACTTATTTACTTTTGATTGAGATTTTATTTTATGAAAATTAATCGAAAATATCGATTAAAGTCTCTCGCTAAGCGCTCCAGAGTTGTTTATGTGTTGGTGAACCTTAATTACAAACTTCCTTCTATCTCTGAGTCTGACTTCCCATTAAATTATACATAACGTGTTGCCATCGCTATGTGTAAAATTATTTGTATATCTACTGCATATAACGCACATATCATAGATTATAATTAATTAAGAAATAAATCGTATTCGAAATAAAATAATAATTTATCATTTCAGAATATTAAAGACCGAAGATTAATGCTAATAGCAGGTCTCGGATTTTGCGACTTTTTCGACTTTTTTTTTTGCATTTAAAAACAAAAAATTTTAACAAAATACGTATTTTTTAGTATACAATAAAGATCTTCTTTATTTCTATTATTTAACAAATTTTTAACTAAAAATTTTCTATAAATTTATTATTTTTAATAATTTTCATGAAATTCTTCATAAATTCAATTATCTACCTTAAATTATTTTTCAATTAAAAATTTTATGAAATTCAACAATTGTTTACAATTAAAAAAAAATCAAATAAAATTACCAAAAATTTCAAATTTAAAACCTCCCGTGTGGAAAAAGTCACGATCTTGCCCTCAAGAGTTCGGGGCCCCCGGCGGGGGCCCATGAGGGCTGATCCATATGGCGAATCCATGAGGGGCACCGTAGGGGCCCCGCATGGATCGCCCTCATGATTGATTAGCAAAATTTTCTAAGTCCAAAATTCAAATATTTTTTCGTCAACAAAAAATGAATGTTTCCAATGATTCAAAACAACGAAAAACGTGTTTTTAATAAAAATATATTTACACTTTTTTTGAAAATTCACCTGAGATGATTCATGATAATAATCATAAAGCATATAATTAATTATATTTTATAAATTGCATTTGATTGGAAAATATAATTTAATATCTTAACTTTAACTAAATGATGTTAAGCACTTTTCTTTTGTTAGGTATTTTTGAAGTTTAAATAGCATCAAGAAGTTAGCATTCGTTTTGAAGTAGCGTGCGTAGCGTAGTTGGTAAAGCGTTAGACTCATAGTCCGTAGGTCGTAGGTTCGATTCCCCCCATGCGTTAGATTTATTTATTTCTCAGGTTTGCGTTTAATCATTAATTCTATGTATGAATTAATTGAAAAATGAAAATATCCGTTAATAGTATGCATAAATTACATATTTTTTAATTTTTTAATTAATTAATTTATTATTACTTTTAATTATATCCGACAGTTAATTAATTAGAACGTTAATTAATAAATTCAATTTGAGTAAGAATTTAATTTAAAATTGAATAATTATTAAATAAATATGTTATTTATTCATAACTTAAGCTTATTTATTATTAATTAACTTTTATTATTAATATTATTGATTAAAAAACATTATGGCAAACTTGAGGGCAAGATGAGGGCAAACGTGAGGGCTCATAAGGGCGCCCTCATCGATGAGCATGTCGTTTCCATGAGGGGCCCCTATGGATCATCCATATGCGCCCCTCATGGCATGAGGGCGATCCATAAGGGCCCCCATTGGGGGCCCACATCACTTTTCCACACGGGCTTTTAAAATTTAATTATTTTTAAATTTTTTTCTATTTAAGACTTTTTGAAACTTAATAATTTTAATTATAACTCTTCTGAAATTCAATTATTTTTAATGATTTTCATAATATTCTTCGAAAATTCAATTATCTAAAAGCATTTTTCAATTAAAAAAAGTTTTAAAGTTCCATTTTTGTCTTTAATTTTTAATAAATTCTTCAGCAACAAAAATCACGAAAAAAAATTTCAATTCAAAATCACTTGAATTCAATTATTTTCAAAAATATCAATTTAAAACCTTCTAAAATTTAATTCTTTCTAAAAATGCTAACTGTAACTCTTCCAAATTTCAATTATTTGAAAGCATTTTTCAATTACAAACTTTTGAAATTCAATTTTTGTTTGTAATTTTTAATAAATTTTTCATCAACAGGAACACAAAAAATTTTAATTAAAAATCACTTGTAGTTCAATTAATTTCAAAGATCTGAATTGCAAATCTTTGAAAAATCAATTACTTTTAAAAAATGTTATCTAAAAAATTATTTGATAAATTATTTTTAATTCTTTAAAATTTAATTATTGTCTGAAATTTAACAAAAATCTTTTGAAATTTAATTATTTCTCCAAAACTTTCAACTATAACTCTTCCGAATTTCAATTATTTTTAATAATTTTAATATTTGTTTAAAAATTCAATTATTTAAAAAAGTTACAAATAAAAACTCTAAAAGAATTGTAAGAATTTTTTTTTAGTTTGCCTAACTTAATTAAAAATTTTTAAATTTACGTCTTCGATTTTAAAATATTCGAATAACATTAATTATTTAAAGTAAAATACTTATTATAACTAATTAAAATTAATTAAAATAAAAAAATCGACTTTTTTGACTTTTTTTGAAATGTAAATCAATTAAAACGACTTTTTTTCCTTCTTTAAGTCAATCCGAGGCCTGTAATTGTACAAAAATGTATGTCTTTGTATTGTATATTTTTTTTATATATAAAAATCGTAATCATTTTTAAAATTCCACTTATTATTAGAAAAAAATTGTTTAGATAATTTTTTTTTTTGGTAAAAAGGAATTTTACTATAAAGTTTAAAAATTGGAAATTATTTATAAAAAAAAAAATTTTAATCGTCACAAAGAAATAAATGAATTTTTTTTTATAAAATTGCTTTTAATATATAAATACAACAATGTAAATGAAAGTTGTTTTTTTTTAGGATACTAGAAAAAAATTTGGGAAAGACACCTTTAACGTATCATCAGTTTCAAAATGTTATTGCCAGTATGGATCCTCCTGAGCTTCCAGCTCCGACAGTAACATTGACTTGTATTGGAAATGCTTTTACGCCCCTAAAAGAGGACCATGATGAGCAATATGGAGTGCCTACTCTTGATGAACTTGGTAATGTATAAATTATAATGAAAAATTTCTTTAATAAATATATAAATTTAGACATTAAATTAAAATAAAACATTGAGAGTTTTTTTTAAAAATGCACAAAAAAAAGATTTACCTGAAACAGCGATAAGTTTCACTAGAATAGCGAAAGATTTAACTGAAACAAATAAAACTTTCGCTACTATAGTGAAACGTTTCACTGTTCCAGATAATTTTTTTTTCCGTGTAGGCAAAATATTTTTAAGCAAAATCAATATTTTCCAACATATTTTTAAATTAGTTGAAATAAATTTAATTGAATCGTGAATTTTAAAAATGACTATTCAGATACATATATGTCAATGTATTTTGTATTTGAAAATTATGAAATTATTAAAAAATTTATTTTATTTTAAAATAATAATTAAATATTAAAAATTTTTCATTTGAAAAAATTTCTCAGTTTTTTGAGACTTGTAACTTTTTTTCTGGATACTACAAAAAATTTGAGATTTTGCAAATATTTTTTTAAATGCGACAAAGCGAAATTTCAATATCAGAAATACTAAAATTTTAAAAAAATTATATAAAATTTAGTAAAGTTACATCAAATACAACAAAAACAAATTTAACAAATTTTACTATAACTTTACGAAATTTCATATAAGTTTTTTAAAAGTTTAGTATTTCTGATATATAAAAATTTTGCTTTGTCGCATTTTGTCCGACAATTGTTAAATTCATTTTATAAAATTTGATACTAACTTTTTTTCCGTGTAATAAAATATCGACAAAATCTCAAAAAAAAAAAAAAAAAAAATCCAGAAAAAAGTTACAAGCGAGAATTTTTTCAAACAAACAAAATTTTATATTCGATCATCATCTTAAATTAAACTAATTTTTTAATAATTCCATAATTATTGAATAAAGAATAAATAAAATAAAATTTACATGTTAATATTATAACCAATGAACTCAGAAGTTCTCTGAGTTTCACAAATATTTAAAACTAGAATTTTTCAAAAATATTCCAGCAACCACTTTCAAATAATTTTCAGTGTACTGACCCAAATAAAGCTTACAAACTGTGTTAAATTAAACAAAAGCGTTCAAACAGATCTCTATATTTAAATTAAGAATTCTTTTTTCAAAATGCGGTTTTCAGAGTTGTGCCCTTTTCGAAATTCACGATTCAATTAAAATAAATTCAAAGTCTTCAAAGTAGACCTTTACTGTCCAATGATGGTTAACCTAATATTTAAATTAAAGTATTTAATTCATTTTTATAATTATTTTTACTGCCATATATATATATATATATATAAGAAATAAAATAATTTCCTCAAAATAGAAATAAATTTTTCTAATTTTATAATAATAAAATGCTTGATCTGTCCTTCTGTCCTAACTTGAAGTTGGCCTTTTCTGATTTCACGCGTTTGTTTGAATAGTAATCTTATGACGTGTCAAATTTTGACAATTCTTTTTCTCATTTTTGCCAAAGTTGTATAATTGTGTTTCCAAATTTCGGAATAAGTTTCTTTAAAATTCCAAATTCCAAAATTCGTTTACCAACGAAATTTTTTTTAAAGTTCTATATTGATTCAAAAATTGTATACAAATACAAAAAATTTATGTTGAGAAAAAAGATGCGCCAGAAAATTTCGTACAAGATAGTAATTTGAAAAAAATTTATTTTTAAAAATTAATTTTTAAGGTACCAGGGGCCAACGAATATCTATTAAATATTAATTATAAAAACACGGGCCTCGAATCAACTTAAAGACACAAAAAGTCGTTTCAGTCGATTTATATTCCAAAAAAAAGTGGATTTGTTTTTTATTTTATCAAAAATATTTTACAGATTTTTTAATAAAAAATTTTTTTTTAAATAATAATCCTTTTCGAAGGGTTAAAGTTGAAATTTTTAGAAATCATTAAATTTCAAAAGATATTGTTAATTTTCAAACAATCATTAAATTTTACAGAATTAAAAATAATTTATCAAACAATTTTTGGAAAACATTTTTTAAATTTAATTGAATTTTCAAAGATTTAAAATTGAGATTTTTGAAATTAATTGAAACTTTAAGTGTTTTGTAATTAAAATTTTAGATGATTTCACTAAAAATTTATTAGAAAATGCGGATAAAATACAATAATTTGAAAATCATTTTTAATTTAAAAATGGTTTCAGATAGTTGAATTTTCAAAGAATACTATTAAAATAGTTAAAAATAATTGAATTTCCTTAGAGTTATAATTGAAATTATTAAATTTCAACAAAAAAAATTTTCGATGGAAAATTTTGAGAAATAATTAAATTTTAGATGCTTTTAAATTCAAATTATTGAAAATTCAATTAATTTTGAATTCAAATTTTTGAGAATAATGAAATTTTATTTGATTTTAAATTTGGAAAATAATTGAACTTCAGTTCATTTTGAATTGAAAATTTTGGGAAATAATTGAATTTTAATTGAAATTTTGGATAATAATTTAATTGAAGTTCATTTTTGATTGAAAATTTAAATAATTAATTTTGAATAGAAATTTTAGAAAATAATCAAATTTTATTTCATTTTAAATTGAAAACTTGGTAAATAATTAAATTTTAAATTGAAAATTTTGTATAATTATTGGATTTTTAATTGATTTTGAATTAAAATTTCGGGTAATAATTGAATTTTAGTTTATTTTGAACTGAAATTTTCAAAAAATAATTCAATTTTATTGTGATATTTTTTTTTTAAATTATAAACAATTGTTAAATTTCATAACAATTTTAATTGAAAAATAATTTTGATATAATTGAACTTGTAATGTATTTCATTAAAATTATTAAAAATAATTAATTTAGTGTAGAATCATTTTAGTTCAAAATTTGTTAAATAATTGAATTAAAGAAGATATAAATTTTATACTAAAAAAATGTATTTTATTTACATTTTTTTTCAAATGTAAAAAAAAAATGTCGCATTTTATTAAAATAAGTCGATAAAAGTCGTATTTTTGAAAAAAGTCGGAAAAGTCATATAATCCGAGGCCTGTGAACATATAATTTTCATTATTATCATTTAATATGTAATAATATTCTAATAAATTAAATTATCATTGATAATATTAATCTTTAATTTCTTTATAATAAACAATTAAATACTCAATTTGGCGCGTTTGCGCGCGTTTAATTTTGCTAGTATTAAATAATAAAATTTGTAATTATATTAAAATGAAAATAAAAAATTTTCAGGTTTTGACATTACAGGTCTTCTGCCTCCAGTCTGGATAGGTGGTGAGAGTGAAGCTCTTGCACGTCTAGAACGTCATCTTGAAAGGAAAGCTTGGGTGGCGAGCTTTGGTCGACCAAAAATGACTCCCCAATCTCTTCTAGCAAGTCAAACTGGCCTTTCACCTTATTTACGATTCGGCTGCCTTAGTACAAGACTTTTCTACTATCAATTAACTGATCTTTACAAAAAAGTAATATTCTTATTAATTTAACTATATATTATAATAATTAAATTTCATTTAGTAATACACAATTTTTCAAATTCAGAAAATTATTATTATACTAATTAAATTTTTCATTTTTCTGAATTTTTTTCACTTAATTTGAAAAAATTGAATTTTTTCCATATTTTCAGATAAAGAAAACAGTACCTCCACTTTCTCTGCATGGTCAATTACTTTGGAGAGAATTTTTTTACTGTGCAGCAACAAACAATTCTAATTTTGATAAAATGCAAGGAAATCCAATTTGCGTACAAATACCATGGGACAAAAATGTCGATGCTCTTGCCAAATGGGCTAATGTAAGTTTAACCTGTACAACGTGCGTGAAATTTAGAATAATTTTTCGACACGCATGAATAAGTTCTAAAAATCATTATTTAGAATTTTCATTCAGCTAAATTTTTATAATTATAATTTTTAAAAAATTCTTCTGCCATATTGGATCCGCAATTTTGAATTTTAAAAAACTGACCTTATTTAAAACAAAATAATAATAATTCTTCTAATTTTAAACCAAAATTAAATTATTTAATTTGTTTCTGTTATTAACGCCATATGACAGTCACAAAATCTACAAAGTGTGACAATTTTCGGACATTAACATTTTTAAAACATACTTTAGGATATTTAATATTTCAATATTTATTACATTAAGATGTTTTAAGTTTTTGCTTAACATTAATTGGAAATACCTCCGAGAATTCAGAATATTTCATATATGTTTAAGATATTTGAGAACAATTCAGGATAATTGACGAGTTGTAAACCCCAACGGCGTAAGATTATGTAATTTTGATTGTGGTCTCCCGACCGTTTTCGGTATATTCACCGGGGCAATTATGTACTCCAGATTGACGGGGGATACTCCTCAGGGTATAAGCAAAATTACAGGACGGCATACAATAAAAAAAAAAATTTTTTTTTTAATTATCTAATCACATTTTTTTTAATTTTGTCCTTTAAAATAGCGGCCAAAATATTTATATGTTTCAGACATATGACATATGTTTTTCAGACATTATATGTCTGAAAAATTGAAAATTTATAATTAAAACGTTATAAAAGTAGTAAAAAATGTTCAATTATCTCTAAATTATGCACTAGTAATGCTAAAGTATTACAAAATAAAAATATATGGATCATTTTTAAAAATTCAAAATGGCGGATCAAATATGGTAGAAAAATTGAAAAATTGATTGAATTCGCTTGAAACTTGTTACTCGCGCTCACAGCACCGAAACTTTCCTGAAAATTTAGTAAATATTTACGTGCAATATTTGGAATATTTAATTGCAATATTTATTGAAAGTTATGTAGAGATTTAAATGTCCCACTTGAATAAATGTTTAGCGCGAAACTTTCCTGAACTTTTATTTAATCGGGAATTCGGGACATTTAAATCTTTACATAACTTTCAATAAACATTGCAATTAAATATTCCAAATATTGGAATATTTTTTCGGGGTCGCTGAATACGAATCCGAGGTCAGTTTTTAAAAATTCGAAATGGCAAATCCAATATGGCGTAAAATTTTTTTAAAAATTAATTGAATTCGATTGAAACTAGTTACTTGGGGGTTTCAGTTTCCTTGAATACGAATCCAAAGTCAGTTTTTTAAAATTCAAAATGACGGATCTAATGTGTCGAAAAAAATTAATTCAATTCGCCTGAAATTTGTTACCCTGGGGTTTTTATACTCGCTGAATAGGAATCTGAAGTCAGTTTTTCGAAATTAAAAATAACAAACTTACTTTGGATTCGTATTTAGCGAGACTGAAACCCCCAACAAGTTACAATGGAATTCAAATAATTTTTTTAAAAATTTTACGCCATACTGGATTCGCCATTTTGAATTTTCAAAAACTGACCTCGGATTCGTATTCAGCGACCCCGAAAACCCCCCGAGTAACAAGTTTCAAGCGAATTCAAACTATTTTAATTTTTTTACCATATTTGATCCGCCATTTTGAATTTTTAAAAATGGTCCATATATTTTCATTTTGTAATACTTTAGCATTACCGGTGCTTAATTTAGAGATAATTTGAACATTTTTTACTATTTTTATAATGTTTTAATTATTAATTTTTCAGCCATATGTGTCATATTTTGGCTGCCATTTTGAATTTTTTTTAAAAAATCATGTTTTAAATGAAAAAGTACTTCAAAACGAACATTTTGAGACCTTAAACGTTACAATTGACCCAATACAATTATATACAGAGTACTGATCGATATTTTCCTTATTTTTTAGAAATTCTACATTAGTATGAAAAACATAAATGAAACTATATTCAAAAATTGTTTCGGTATATATGCGGGTGTAGTGTAAATAATAATCTTAAAGAAAAAAAGAACTAAAACTCATCAGATTGGTTATATTTTCCGATGATGAGTTTCTTGGATATTCTTGAGAAGCACGTTTTTGCCTGCTCTTCTGCATAAATATAAGGAATGAGAAGAGCATTGAACTTTTATTTTCCAACAGGGACAGACGGGCTTTCCTTGGATCGATGCGATAATGACTCAACTGAGGGAGGAGGGTTGGATTCACCACTTGGCTAGACACGCTGTCGCATGCTTCTTGACCAGAGGTGACCTTTGGATCTCCTGGGAGGAAGGGATGAAGGTGATATGTTACGAAACCCATAGACATTCCCATCACTCTCTAAATCTGAATCAAGTCACTTATTTAGACTAGATTCAGATTTAAAGAACACATTCACAATTAAATTTATGATTGTCGCTTTTATTCAAACATAATTTCCAAACATCAAGAAAATTATTTCATTTAAAGAAATTTATTCATTTTTATTTATTAATATATACAAAATAATAATTATAGTAAAGAAGTTGCAAAAATTTAAATATCTACAAATGGAATTTTAGGTTTTTGATGAATTGTTGTTGGATGCTGATTGGTCAATAAATGCTGGAATGTGGATGTGGTTGTCCTGTAGTTCATTTTTCCAACAATTTTTCCACTGTTATTGTCCAGTGAGATTTGGTAGAAAAGCAGATCCAAACGGTGACTACATACGGTGAGTTTTTAAGGGTTATAATAACGCGTTAATAAAAAAATTCCTTATAGGCCTATCATTCTTTTCGTAAATTTTTTTCGCGACACTAGAAAACATAACCTAAAAAGTAAATTAAAATCTCCTGATTCGCGATAAAACGATTTTACATATACAGTGGAAACTCTCTATTACGAATTTCAAGGGACCGGGCAATTTGTTTCGTTATAAGGAGTTTTCGTTACATCGAGTGAGCAAAAAAATAACAATATTTTATATTAAATTTTTATTATAAAAAAATATACACAATTAAAGAAAAAAACAAATTTTTGTGATTATGAAAAAAATTATTTATAATAGTCTGTGATTTTAGATTGAGTATTTCTGCTTTGCCATGTATGAATTACTGAAACGCTTTTCGTCTATAGAAAAACTCTTTTACAAGCCATGCACAATTAGTCAGTAGTCACATTCGACTTGTAGCAAACTCAAACAGAGACTAAATTAATTTTTCACAGTAAAAAATACTTTTTATATATATCTACCTACCATAAAAATCTATGTGGCAGCAATAACAGCACACAAAAATAAATAAATAAAACAAAGTTATGAGAAAAATTTTTCATTTTGAGATATTGTACTTTCGTTATAGTGAGTCATTGCTTCGTTAAAGAGAGTGTATGTATATACAGATTTTAATACAAACCAACCAAATTGAACAGATGTTTACGTTAGGGAGAGTTTTATCTTATAAAGAGTTTCGTTATAGAGAGTTTCTACTGTAATTTTGACTACTCAACCCTGATGACTGATGAAAGATTACTATAGTCCCCACTCGCCATTTGTCATAATTCTCGTCAACTACCGCACGCTGCTATGGTAAAAAATTTAGTGACTTTATAGTTAAAATTAAAAGTTACTATAAAGTCACTAAATTTTCACTAGAGCAGGGTACGGTAGTTGACGAGAATTATAAATTTATGATAAATGGCGAGTGGGGACAATAGTAATCTTCCATCAGTCGACAGAAGAGATGGGTACGTAATTTACCTCAGGTAATTTACATAGTTTTTTACAGTAATTTACCATGTAATTTATGTCATTATCTTTCTACAGTAATTTACGTGTATCAAAACCTAACTTTAAATTTATGATTTATGAATTGATATACAAAATACACTTTGATAATTAATTCATAACAATTATGAAAATTATAATAAATTTAAAGGTATAGTAACCTTCACCTTGACTTCAGTGTTCGTCACACAAGTAATTTAAATATTCAAAGCAATTTACAGAAATAATTTTTATTTAAATTTATTATTTACATACAAATAAGAATTCGTAATTGAAAAAACATATATATTCTTTAATTATATTTGAAAATAATTTTCGTTAATGTTTTCATAACATTTTTGAAATAAAATTATTAAATCTTCATAAATTTACGAAATTTTGAACAAATATAACCTTAAAATATTTAAATTAAAAGAATCTCTGGCTGTTGATCAGGAGTTAAGTAATGTACATATTTTCTACAGTTTTTAACGTAAATTACGTAATTTACATCGGAAGCTACCAGGACGCGCCACAACCCATCTCTAGTCGACAGGGTTGAGTAGTCAACATTATTTTATAAGCACGAACTCTTAGGGTACGGCCGCAGCTCAGCTATCTAATCTCCAAAACTGAATCAGTGTAAATCTATTGGTTTTTTAAAAAATGACTTAAATATTCAATAATATAATTGGAAATTTCAGTCATTTTTCACTGATTTCCAATAAAACTTCACTTATTCAAATTGCGAGAAAAGAGCCATTGAAAAACTAATAGATTTATACTGATTGAGTTTTAGAGAGTAGATAGCTGAGCTGTGGCAGTACCCTAAGGGTTCGTGCTTATAAGATTATTTTGATTACCCAACCCTGTCGACTGATGGAAGGCAGGCTATTGTCCCCACTCGCCATTTGTCATAATTATCGTCAACTACTGCAACCCTGCTCTAGTAAAAATTTAGTGACTTTATAGTAACGTAAACTTTTAATTTTAATTATAAAGTCACTAAATATTCACTAGTACAGGATGCGGTAGTTAACGAGAATTATGACAAATGGCGAGTAGGGACAATGGCAATCTTCCGATCTACTGCTTCTTATGGTGCATTTTCAAGTTCTGTCGAAAATTTTATTTTCTTTGCATTTTTCGAAATGCACAAACATGATTGGTGTCTTGTACCTGTATAATTAAAGTATTTTTTGTATACACGGAAAGAAATCTTATTAGAATATTTAATAAATCTGAATAGAAATTTTGTTTTTTTTTTGTTTTTCAATTGCGAAACAATTTTTTATTACGAATTCCTTTAACTGGAAACATTTTACGAAAACTGAAATTATTATTTCTTAATTCAAATCTACAATTTTCGAATATTGAATAAAACTATAGGAAAAAACAGTATAGGAAGTAAACAGTCTAGCTTGTTATTTACTAAATTTATACGAAAAATCAGAACCAACATTTCTTAATTTACTAAAACTATAGAGAAAGTAGGAGTGGTGTTATAAAATAAAGCACGTTTCAATATTTGCTAAAACTATACGAAAAAGCAAGAGCCGTGAAAAAAAGAACGTCGGAACCACCAATAGCTCTTTTCTAAGATTTACTCTCCTTTTCTATTTGAGGGTAGTGGGAGTCTTTCTTAATACACACACATAACTGGTACGCTTTGATTGGCTTAAAATTATTCCTAACACATAACACAACGCATATAGATACATAATTCACGCTGAAATGAGAAATTCTGAACTTCTTTATATACTAAATAGACAGATTTTTCTGCACTTGTGAGAAACTTAATATTACATTGTTAAATATTTAAAAATAAAAATAATTATTTATTAAGAATAATAATAGAATATTTTATTACCATTCAAAGAACAATTTTTATCATAGAATCATTTAATTTAATTATAGAAGCAAACTTATAACAAATATTCTATAATTATATTTAGAAAAAGAAATATAGAATAATTAAAAACAATTATTTATCAAAACTTTTTCTAGTCTATATTGCAGAAATAAAAATTATATAAAGATTACACTGAAAAAAGGATTTGGTATTGACAACCAAACGTTTGGTTGGTATTTAAGCAACCAAAATTTTTTTGTTGAATCAACAAAATTTTAATTGTCTCAATCAAAATTTGTTTGACACAACCAAAATTAGAAAAAAAGGATTTTTGTTGTTCTAACTAAAGTTTGATTCGGACAACAAAAATTTTGTTGATTCAATAAAAAACTTTTGGTTGCTTAAGGAGGTTCCATCCCTTCACTGAACTAGTCAAAGCAATAACCATTTTTGTCTGATTTGACTTGCTCGGTATTTTGAAACGTCTGGCAACACTGCAACTCACGTTATGCATATATGTCTTTAACTATACAAACTTTGATCAACATCTGTTTGTTTAATATTTCATAGTATGAAAATATATGTGACAAAGTAATGAATTCCCATAAGAATCAATGTTAAATAGTGAAAAAATAAATCGATCAGAACTACAGAATTTTACAGAATTTTAGAAGCTTTATTTAGTAGTGTATCAAGTTTTACCAAAAACTGCTTGTTTATTCGATAATAGGTGGTACATACCTCCTTAAATACCAACCAAATGTTTGGTTGTCAATACCAAACCCTTTTTTCAGTGTATGAGCAAACAAATAGAGTATTTTATTATTAAATATTAATTAAAATTATTTTTAATTCATATTGCAGTATTAAAAATTATTTTAAACCAGGATGTCCAGCAAGGCTTAAAGAAAAAAATTCCCTGACTTTTCTCTGATATTTTTTTTTTCGTGACTACTTGTTAGTGATCGGTCAAACCCGATCGGACTCACTCTCTTAACTTCGTCAAACTTGGGTGATTTTTGATATTTTTCTATCATTTTTTGAAAGAAAAAGTTTCTATTAGTATTATATGTAAATATAAGGATTTAACACCAATCCACTTTCTTATCGACTATATCAAAATGTAAAATGATTATACCAATTAACGGAATTCTAAATACAGAAAATGAAATATTTTATTCTAATACTTGTTACAGGGCGTATTAGAATTTAACATTTGGAGTTTTCATAATAAAATTATGAATTTCGCAAAAACTATTCTAATTTTTGTTTCTAAATATATTAAACTTTATTATTTTTATTTTAGGCATTCTTAAAAAATAGTAATGAAATCTATTGCCACCCCAAAATCTGCAAAATCTTCCGCAATTTTAACTTAGTATACTAAATATGAGTGTTAAAATATTAAATATTCTAACAAGATTTCTTTTCGTGTATTTTATATTAAAATTTATTTCCTACAGTATTCAGAACTTCCTTTTTCCAAAATTATTTCCTATATCATTTTTTCTATACGATAGAAAAAGAATGATAGGCCTATTAGGAATTTCCTATTATAAATTTTCATAAGCCCCACTTGTACCGTTACTATCGATTCTTTTTTTTTTTTTTTTATTCACATTTGGGTTGTGTTCGATTTTCTGCCCTGTCAGGCGTTATTTGCCTGTCTTGAAGAATTTCCCAGCGAGATATATTCACGAGCCTTGGAATGCCCCGATGTGTGTTCAAAGAGCAGCCAAGTGCATTATTGGAAGGGAATATTCCTATCCTATGGTCAACCATAATAAAAGCTCTCGAATCAACATTGAACGAATGAAAAATGTTTATCAACATTTAAACAAATATCGTCATCCTGGTAAGTTTAGGTCGTCCAATTTTGAAATTCTCTATACACTAAAAAAGGAAGAATATTTGAGTACCGAATTTTATAATGATTTTTATAAAACAATAATCTGCTTGCAATAATATTCAGTACTTTGATATAAAATTCTTTTTTTTTTAGTGTATCAAGTGATGAATAAATACTATGTATTCAAAATTAATTTATTTTTATTTGTTTCTTTAATGAAAAAAATAATCCTATTTTTTTTAGTGCTTTGCATTTATTCATTTTTTTTTTTCATATGGGTATATTTATTTGTGTAATTATTCATTTTTTTTTACCCAAGGGACTATTATCCATTAAGAAAGAAACTTATGGAAAGACTTTAGTGGTTTATTAGAATAATTAAACTGACGATTTTTGTATTTTTGTATACTCTTAGGAGAGGCTGTTTAAGCAGAAAGAACAGGTGAGTTATCTACAAAGAAAAACCACGGTTTAATAGAATATTTAAAAAAAAATTTTTTTTTAATTTTATTAATCTTTCTATTTTTAGGAGAAAAATTTTAATTCCTATTATGACGAGGTTTTTCCATTTTCAAAAATTTATTTATTTATATTTTTATCTACATTACCATTAAAATCTTTTGAAAAGAAATATGTGAATTAAGGGGCATAAAATATGTCATGAAGATATTATAATGTCACCATTCGTGAAATCAAAAATTTTCCTATCGCGCTCATTATTTCAACCATTTGTGAAAAATTAAAATGTTTTAGTTTGATAAGCATTTTATAATAATAAAAAAAAGATCTATAACTTATTTAAAAAAAGACCGTGAAAATAAATAGATGTTAAGTAAAATCTAAAATTCTATTAGACAAATAGCTTTAATCAAATTTTAGTTTCTAAAAATTTTTTCTTCTTTCAGAGGTTTTAATTTCTCTTCTTACATCGAATACAACTGAAAATCCACCTGATGAAGAGAATCAGCAGAAAAAAACTGAAAATAATATCTCGAACGATGTTAGAAAAACAGAAATTATTGATAAACAAAATTAAAAGTGATTTAGATGAAAAGAAAAAAAATATATTTTCTGTGATTTGAGTTTAAGCGTGAAATTAAAAAATTATTATTTTCAAAATATTATAGATAAATATTATGAAAATTTTGGACAATAACTTGAAATTTTTCATGAAGCATTGTTTTTTTTCCCAAAAAATGGAACTTGAGACCTCAAAGTATTGACTGAGTTTATTTTTTTAACATAGATTTTGATATTAATGAGACCTGCAAAAAGTCTTCCTTCAAGATTATATAAATATTTCAATGAAATCTACGAATTTCTATGTACATGTAAAAATTTAATTAAAAATTTCGATTTCATAAATTTTTAAAAGTTAACATTCAAATGTTCATCATCATCATTATCATTGTCAATTATAAATTATTATCATTAGTTTATAACTTTCGAAAGATAGTGAAACATTTTTTATAACATATCTAAGGTACTACCTGAATTATTTTAATCTTCTTTTAGTGAGAACTAATTAACAATTGAAAAAAATGTCCTTTTTTTTAAAAAAAAGATTAAAATAATTTAGGTTCTAATGTATCGAAAATTTATTTTATGTAAAAATTCTGTTTCACTTATTTAAAAAAATGTGTACATAAAAATTGATTACTCATTCATTTTATTGAATAAAAATTATTTTGTACTATTTTTTGATGTACTTCATTTATTACAATTATTTTAAATTAAAAAATTGAAAGAAAAGACGTAATTGACTATATATATATAAGATATTTTTTTAAATAATAGAATGAGTTTCTATTGAAATTGCGAATTGAGTGCAAGACATGAGAAAATTTTCCGAGTCTTGCGATAAAAGTGTCAACATTTTTACTGGTGCATTAAATATGTCAAAAGATTTGCAGTGGCATTATGGCGCACAAGCAATGCTGTGGAGTTCATTATTTTCGCACACCAAAGAAAGAAGAATAATGAAAAAGGTAGAGCAAAAATCTTCAAGCTTGCATTTAACATTTTAAATTTCTTGACAATTTTTATTAGCTTTCGTTTGTTTTCTTTAATAGTAAATGTTTAGTGAAAATTTTTATTTCCAAAATCATTTTTTATTGTTACTTCATCAAAATTTGTATAATAATTTTACGAAAAAAGAATTTTTTTTTAATACACCCCTTTGCTGTCCTTATCCGGTTTGACAGTATTTTGAAAAGTCGTGACGCTTCTATAATAATTTTTTCGTTCGTGGCGTCGTATGAGAAAGATACCACAATAAGGCCTAAGCAGAATGAAATCTCTAATAGTAAATCTTAAGCTTTTACATGAGGGAGAAAAGGATAGAAATATCTTTTGTCCTTTTCTCTCTCATGTAAAAGCTTAACATTTACGATTAGAGATTTCATTCTGTTTAGGCCTATATCTAACCAAAGTTCCCATTCGCCATTTGTCATAATTCTCGTCAACTACCGCACTTTGCTCTAGTGAGAATTTAGTGACTTTTTTGTAACTTAATTTTAACTAGAAATATCACTAAATTTTCACTAGAGCAGGGTGCAGTAGTTGACGAAACCTATTGTGCGTTGGCTTTAACCGCACTGTCGTATACTAAAATCTTTATTTAGACTTTTATTACAAATTTTTAATACGTTTTTGAAAATTTTTGCTCAATTATTGACACAATTTATGACACCTAGGTATACATATAATGAAATTTTCTATTTTTAAGCTTCTTTTTATTCATTTAACTATTTTGCTTCCAAGTGGAGGAATTATTATTGATACAGTTGTACATCAAAAAAATTTTATTCCAAGATTAAAAATATATTCAGTGATACCAATTTTAAAATATTTAAATATGCGATTTAACGTAAAATTTTCAAAAAAAAAAGGTATTTTAAGAGTTAAGAAAACCATTTGTTTTTAAAAATCAGTTCCAATATTTGTTTTCACAACTTTTTGTCGGATTTTAATTTTGTTAAAGAAATTTCTCGCTTTCTATTTCAATAAAATGGCCCAAAAAAAGGTTTATTTTGAATATTTTAGAACAAATTTTGCTTTATTAAAAAGAATTTTTTCGGCATAATAATCCCAGCTAAATTCCTGTACAGGATCCTTATAGGATCTTGCGTAGAATATTGGAATAGATGTCAAGTATATATTTTAAATTTCAGAATGATTTTTTTACGCGGTGAAGCTTCTTACGCGCTAAGCATTTGATAAAGTGCAGACAATTAAATAATTACAGAAGCTTTACTTAACATTTATTCTAAATACTGCGAACTTAAAAGTAAAACTTTAATAATTTTTTTATTAAATTTTCGGTGCTACGTGGGAACAAGAACTGTTTCCAATTTTGCAAAAAAGAATCCAAAATAGCATATATACTGTAATCAAGAATTGCAAAAGCATTCCAATGGCAAACCATTAAAAAGAATTTGATAACCTTATAGAGAAATATTGGAAAAAACATTTTAAAAAAGAAAATTTTTAGATACTGCGTCATAAAGTTTTCTCATTAGATATACTGTTGACACAATTTTTTTTTAGAGTAGTATTATTCTTTTCTGCAGTTGTTCTAACACATTATTAAAATACAGCTACGTCAAATTATAACAAATATTTGATTTAGCATAGAAAATATGAATAATAAAATTTTCTTTATCCGCTTTTTGAATGATAAATGTTTAATTAAATGCGCGATCTATTGTTAATAGTATTTTAGCACCAAGTAGTTGGTATTTTTGTAAAACTAAAAATAATACAATTGAATTATTTAACATAATTATGGAAATAATTTTGAGAAAAACGGTATAAATTCTACTGTTTTTAGCAGACATGTTACAATTTTCTTTTTTGATAGGCTCAATCTATTAAAAAAAAATGAAAATCCTTAAAGAAGGGGTACTCTTTCTTTTTATTCTCATTCAAATAAATTCTTTCTGTTTAGCAGAAAACTTAATTAATCATGCTGCTAATGAGAAGAAGGTAAGATATAAAAAAAGTATTCTGTTTTATATTATTTTACTATTAGTATCAACAAACTAAATTTTTTGTAATAAATTACATTTTCTTGGGGAGAAGTTGAAATTCGAACGATCAAAATCCGAGCGATCAGGTTTTGGCAAAAACCTGATTGGTTCTGGATCATCTAACTGACTTGCAATTAGTCGGAAACCATAAATTTTGGACATTTTAACTTAAATTCAAAAAATTTTTATCAAAATCAATATTTTGAAAACAATGTTTTGTGCAACATCTGCAAGAAAAAAGCTATTTTATATGCTGTTTTAAAGAATAAATTTAAGGTTATATTGCCTAATATGCCTGAAAGAGTGCAAAAAAGTATACTTTGCTGCACATTTTATCAGAATGCAGAAATCAAAAACTTTGTGCTGCATTAACGTTTTTGCAGGTGTTGCATAAAATTATTTTCCATTCCTAGAAATGAAACATTTAAAGACCCGTGTAGAAATTTTGTCATGGCCCAAACCTGGGCCAAATCTGGCGTTCATAAAATTGTCATGAAACGCCTTACCCAATTTGGGCCACAAGATGAAGCCATATTTTGACGCTTTCCAGGTCTGGCCCATGTGTTTCAAGCCATTTTTGGTCCAAATATGGCAATTTCTACACGGGAGATTTTATACACATCTTTACAAAAAAAAAAAAATTTTTAATTTTTCAGAACGAAGAATTCTCAAATCGAATAATATTAAACGACTTCAGCATAAAATCCTCTATTAGCGAACTTTTTAAATATTTTGACTACTTGGAAATAATAAATGAGTTTATAGAGCCAAAAATCAAAAGACTATGTATCGTTATAGCAAAAGATATAAAAGATAGTATAAAATTAGCTGAATTATTGAGCAACAAAAATAGATTGTTGCCTGAAAAAAAACAAAATTTTTCCGAAACTAAGAATTTAATATACAATGAAATTATGCAAAATTATTATCTATATTACCATAAAGAGTTATCGGCACACATAATTGTTTATCCTACAGAAATGCAAAATAAAATATTAGCGACATATTTGATAAAGAGAACCATAGACTCGTCAGAAGAATTAAAAGTTGCACTGACATGTTCAAAAGAAGTTAACGAAGACAATCTTAATTCCATGTTTATGATGGCATCAAATATACTCGATTTCAACAGAGAACAACACAATCTTAAGCATAAAATTATTTTTTTGCCATTAGATGTCAATGATCAAAGTAAATTTACGGCCGCAAAAAACAACTTAGAAAATTATTTTTACAAAAAATTCGAAAGATTTGGAAATTCTTTAAATGTAAAAGATTTACTTTTTTCTGCTTTTTATGATTATAAGAATTTAACTAAGAAAGAGCAATTAGAATATATTGTAATAGGATCTCTTCTTTATCACAAAGCAATTCGCATCGCTCACATAATGATTAATTTACATGAACACCCACAAAGAATTCTTATGTCGACTTATGAAGAAGACTATTTAACTATATACAATTATATACAAACGACCAGTAATTTAATCAAAATTCGTACTTTCGCATTTTCGTATGATGGGGAAATTTTGGATTTATTAAAAAACCGATATCCCTACATGGAGCCTTCATCAGTGGATGTGTCCTCCCTAAAAGGTGTACTAACTTTCCCAGATTGGGTGACGAAAAACAGCAACATATCAAAACGTGAATCTCAAGACAATGAAGTTGAGAAATTTATCAACAATGTTTGTAATCGAACGGAACAAATTGAAGTCGTTAAGCATGTTTGTTTCATGAAATATATGAATTACGATAAACCTGAAAAACTATTAAATTATATGCAGAATTTTACTATTGATTATTATTTGCGAGAGGAAAAAGAGTTGTTTTCCATATTATCATCAATGTATAAAACTGAAAATAGCAAGGAAACTGGAATGTATAAATCACAGGATCTGTACGAGAAGATAGAGAAAATTGATGGACAAAAGAAGGATCTAATGTTGGAGGCATTTTTCGCTGTTAACAATTTCCTAAATCCAGAAGCAGAACATTTGTGCTCGCAAATAGGCAACGGAACCTATAAATTGCAAGTTAGAGGAAAATTTTTAATCGTTGGTCAGATTCTACGCAAGAAGTATTGTTCCGGAAATGTGACAATTTTAGAACTTTTAGCTCTTGATAAAATTGTCATTAATGAAGATTTGGTCAGTGATAAAGTACAACTAGTCATTATAATGGCACCAATTTGGGAAATCGTTTGGAACAGAGTTATACGTCTAACTGGTGCTCCTGGAGATAACAATTGGGTAAGTTGATAAAAACCTATTTTGAAAATAATATTGATCTTCATAATATGACAATAAAATCATAAGTACGTACCATTGAAAAAAGAATTCAATTTAAAAATTTTTTCAGAGGCCCTATAAATATGAACCTGATTATAGTACTGATCCTGTGCGATTAGATGGTTTAGACGGAGTTCGCGGAGGACCTGGAGGATCATTTTTCGGAATCGCTAATACTATAATTAAGGATAAAAATTTGTACATTTCAACTATAGGTGGTAGAGGAGGTGATGGACAAAATGGTGCAGATGGATTAGTTTATGAGAGAAATCCTGGAACGGAAAAACAAGTACATTCTCCAGGTATTAAAGGCAACGCAGGAAAAGGTGGAATTCCAGGCTTAGTTCAGTTTTTCCCTTTAAATAACATTAATTTCAATATAAGTATATCGCAAACAAACGGTAGTGTTGGTACACCTGGAGATGATGGGATAATGAATAAAGTATCAGATTTCTTCTTAAATTTTCTTTTACGTAGAGAGAGAATGAAAATCAACTTTGATAGCTATTTAATTGATGAACCAAAAGGAATAAATAATTTAACTTCAACTTTAATGATATACAGAAAATATGTTTTAAAGAATATGTTAAAAACGGGTAAACAAGATTACGCGGACTTGTACGGAAAACTGAATACAAACGTGAATCTTACAAAAAATCTCAATACTTTAGTCTTTGCTGATGAATTGTTTTATTTGGAAGAAAATAATTACTTAATATTAAATAAATCCATTTTATACACAATGTATCTGGGGTTGCAAAATGGACTTGCTTTATATAAAGGAGAACCACAAAGACTTGGAGAATCTGATGACGACAAAACATTTCTTTCTAAATTGGAACACTTCATTGTAAAAAAGACAGGCGAATTGTATGGAAATCTTCATAATCAGGCTGTTGTTAAGATCAATGACTTTATAGGATATTGCAAAGAAAATGGAGAAAAACTACGAAAATTGGAAATTAGTAAGAAATTCGAAGAAGTTAGCACTAAATTTAAAAAAGAATTTCAAAAACAAATAGATGAGGCTTCAAAATTAATTAAAAATAACCTCGAAGTTATTGTGGATAAAAAATTTAACGACTTAAATAAAGAGATTGAAAAATTAGTAGATGAAGTTAAAGTCATGATTAAGAAGGGCAATGAAGCAGTTGGGAAATTGAAAGAAAAAAAGAAAGAACTAGAATTTCAAATAGCTTTAAGGAAACTTTTCACTATTTTCAAATTTATTATTTTTGGACTGTCGTTCATAAATCCTGTTTGTGCAACAATTGGCTCAGCATTGAGCGGAGGTCTATCTATCTTAGAAACAAATTATTTAACCGCTGAAGGAGACAAAGACTATGAGGAATTTAAAATACCAGAGGCAGTAACTAAAGATGTGAAAAGTTCATTTACAAAATATGATGAGGAAACAAAGAAAGAATATGAAGAAGTTGAAAAGCAATTAAAAGAGATAAAATCAGAGAAAGAGAAATTATCAGTTGATGAAGCTAAGCCGCTGAATGATATGGTACAAGAAGTAACTAAAAAATGTACTCCAAAAGTGTCATTTCCAAAGAAATGTATGATGGAAATTCTGGAAAAGAAAGAAAATGAATTGACGACACAGAGTGTAAAGCAAAAGAAGAGCTACAAAACATCGTTAAAAATTGTAAAAGGAGCGGAAATTTCTCTAGACGTTGTTAATTTAGGACTAGAGAACTACAATAGCATTAAGAAAGATGCATCTGAAATAGAAAAAATTGATGAACAAATTGATAAACAGAAGAAGAATATTAAAAAATTAGAAGAATTCCAGACGAAGATTTACAAAAATTTACAACCGCAAATCGAGGATATTAGGAAGCAATTGCGCGAGACATCTAAAGGATATGTTATATCTTCAACAGCACTTCTTGAATACAAAAGATTCGAAATGGGTGAATACTTAAATAAAATTTCGTCAGAGCTAGATAGCTGGACTAAGCAATTCAACGTCAGCCAAGAAATTAAGGATACAATGGGACAATTAAAAGCCGCAATGAATACAATTATTCAGATGCACACTCTTATTAAGGACTTTGAATCTCAAAAAAGACAGGCAGACTTTGTGACAGATGTTGCGAGTGTACCTTTTAAAAACACAAATATAAAAGATCCAAAGTTAGTAGAAATTTTAACGAAATTAGAAAATATTCACTATTCAAACACTATTATTGATGAGTACAACAAGTTAGCAATTGCTATGAAAGGTTACGCATATCCATTTCTAAAAGATTTCTCAGACTTCTTCTCCAGTCCAAGTATGTTATTTAATAGTTATTTCATAAAACCAAGCAACTTAGTTGATAAAATATATCAATTAGATTCAAAATTAAAAAGTAGAAGAAGTCACGGTGCTGTATTTAAACAATTTAAGGCAGCTAAATTTGGAATTCCCGGGGGTCATTCTGCATTTTATACCTGGAAGAACAGTACTCATTCGTCATATATTAAAGACATTCTCGAAGGAAAGGTAGTCGAGCTATTTGCAAATATTTCGCAAGAACCAGGTTTAAATGCAGTAAAGTTTCAAAATATAGAGATTTTGTTTTCGTCATCTGATAATGAAACAAATGTTCAATTAAAGGAAGACTTTAAAGAATTTCAAATATTGTTTACTCACAATGGAGATTCTTACTACAGATGTAGCGATAAAGTGCATGTAATTAAATCAGGTACTTATGGCTCAGTTTTTGAGCCCATCACGTCAAAAAGAAATAAGCGTCAGGCTTCTAATATTGATTATGTTTTGAGTCCTTTTGCAACATGGAGAGTTCAACTTGAACCTATTCGGAATGGTCATAATTTTGATTCTTTAGCTAAATATGTGAATAAAGTTAATCTAGAGTTGGTTGGAGAAGGTCAGTACTTGTTGGCAAATAAAAATATTTGTAATGAATACTTTGAATGAATATGGTCAGTTATGTTAATTTCAATAGAAATAAAAACTATATTGTCTTTAAATTTTTTTGATTAAAGTAGAAAAAAACTTAAGTTAACTTAACTTTAAGTTTACCTTATAATGTTTTCATATTTTTTAAAAAATAAATTGTATTATAATTTACCTGTTCCTTGAAGGTCTACTTAGCCCTAGGAACTTTGAATATTTTTAAATAAATAAATAAAATAAATAAATTGTACATATTGTATTGAATCCGACTTAAAAAACGTAACTTTAGTGTTTACAAACAAAAGCCTATATAGCAATATAGTTAAATGTAATTCTCAATGTGAGTAAGAAAAATTATCCAATATTTCCTATACTGTCTGTTTAAAAGATTATATTGATAAATTAAATAATTTACAAAACAATATATTATTTTAATTACAATGTGAAAATGGACTTTCTTTTATAGCACATTTTTATCTTTATTGCTGTTAGAGAATTAAATCTATTTTATCGTGAATCTATACAGTTTCCGATTTCCTTGCAAGTGTATACACGTTACAATACCTATAAAATAGCCTATAAAATATATATGTGACCGATTGGAATGCTTATTATTATAATAAGGCGTTAAAATTTTACAGCAATTATTTTATATTAGTCAAAATATTATAAAAATATTATTTTTTTCTAACTTTACATATTTTGTATGTTACATATTTTTGAGTCAAATTTTAAGCTTTACTTTGAGTCTGAATTTTTAGTATCTATTAAGTTTTAGCAGTTGTAAAGTAAGTTGTAACCTATTTATGTTCTTGTCAACTGAATTTCGTAAATTTTTTTTTATTTAAGACAACTAAAAATTTCAATTATTTATAACTTAACCAAAAAAATTTTTTTTTTTATCTAATATTTTCAGAAACTTATTTTGATTACAGTAGTATAACTTCTGCGCATCGTCGTACGCAGCTAGTTCTGACAGTCATCATAACCTGCAATTATTACATATACACTACGCACATACATAACCTTAACTAAATTGACAAAACTTACCTGAAATATTTTTGCAATACACTAGGAAAGTTTAGAAGTTCCAGATAGATATTTGTAAACTAAGGGTGCTTCTACAATAGGTGGAAGCATCGTCTTAAAAATGATTTTTTAGAACGAGATTATGCGTGCGCGTATCCATTGCCAACTGTCAACAAAAAATTTATTTTACGTGTAAAATACATTTTATCTAGGAGGATTTAAAATTTTTTAACAAAACAAATTTTTTTATAATTTTAATAATATTTACAACTTGAAATTATACGAATAGTGGAACACGTAAAATAAGTTTTTTGTCGACAGTTGGCAATGGATGCGCGCGCACAGTCTCGTCCTAAAAAATCGTTTTCAAGACGTCGCTATTTAGGGTTGATTTCCATTGTCCCTACTCTCCAAAATCCCTAGTCGCCATTTGTCATAATTCTCGTCAACTATCGCAACCCTGCTCTAGTGAAAATTTAGTGATTTTATTGTTAAAATTAAAAGTTACTATAAAATTACTAAATTATTACTAAAGCAGGGTGCGGTAGTTGATGAGAATTATGACAAATGCGGCGAGTGGGGACAATGGAAACCAACCTTAGCTATTATGAAAGTAGCTTTAGAAAATAATTTACTTCATGATTTAAAAAACAAATTTTTACTGTCTAACAAAAAATTAAGTAATTAAGTTTAATGCACTTTTTTGACGACATTTCTAGATTTTTGATTGCTCAAAAAGAATAAAAATAATTAATAGAAATTTTCTTAGTTTTGAGCAATGCATATAGACAGAAGTTTGATTTTATAAATTTATATATTATGCAATTTTATTATTTATTGCATTTCAGCCTATTGGCCCAGATATGAAATTTTATATACTTATAAAGAAATAGAAATTTTATGAAAAAACTTTGCTCAAAAACAAAAAATGCAATATAAATTAATATATAGCCTTTGTGATGTGAAAGTTCAATCTGATCTTACGTTATATTGTAATCTCCGTTTCACGCTTGGTTTGAAGGCATCTTTAAGAAGTAAAATGTATATTGTATATGATACTTTAGGTATAGGTATATATATATTAGTTACTAAAAATAAAAAAAAATTATTGTATCTTGGTTTCACTCTACAGTTTTCTTTTATTTCGGGTTAAAAAATTACCGCATATTAATTAAATTAATTAACTAGCAATGTAAACTTGATGGTATCATTTTGGAATGCAACGTTTTGATTCGATATAAGGTATCAAATTGATCCAAATATTTGGATCATTTTCAAGAAATGATCCAGAATATGGGACCATTTTTTGATACCTGAATTGGTATCAAAGTATAACTGTCATGGCTGGCTTGCTCTTATGGACAAGTTTATTAATTAATTTATTCACTGCACTGAATATTAAGATATTAAAAATACTTTTATTATGAATTTTAAGAAAGAGAGAAGCGAAAAATTATAAATTGGGAGCAAATAAATAAGAAAAAATTTATTTCGAAATAAAATGAAATACACTAACCTTTATTTATGTTTATCACATAAGATTTAAGTTAAGTTCACAATCACAACACTTGAAAATTTTTAATTATTTTTGTGGTTCAAATAATTATCAATAATTTATTTATTATAAATGAATAAAATTTAAGTAATGCACGCTTGATAAATATTTCCAATGCGCTGTCAATTAATGCAATTAATAATTTCCTATTACACAGTATCATAATCGACATATATGACATTTGTAAACAAACAGGGTTGGGAAACAAGAGCCCAAAATATATTCGTCCAAAGTGAATTTCAATCCTACCCAACTCTGCTTTAGACGAACATATTTTAGGCTCTTGTTTCCCAACCATGTTTGTTTACAAATGTCATATATGTCGATTATGATATTGTGTAATAGGAAATTATTAATTGCATTAATTGACAACGCATTAGAAATATTTATCAAGCGTGCATTGCTTAAATTTTGTTCATTTATAATAAATAAATTATTGATAATTATTTGAACCATAAAAATAATTAAAAATTTTCAAGTGTTGTGATAGTGAACTTAACTTAAATCTTATGTGATAAACATAAATAAAGGTTAATGTATTTCATTTTATTTCGAAATAAATTTTTTCTTATTTAATTGCTCGCAATTTATAAGTTTTCGCTTCTCTCTTTCTTAAAATTCATAATAAAAGTATTTTTAATATCTGAATATTCAGTGCAGTGAATAAATTAATTAATAAACTTGTCAATAAGAGCATGCCAGCCATGACAGTTATACTTTGATACCAATTCAGGTATCAAAAAATGATCCCATATTCTGAATCATTTCTTGAAAATAATCCAAATATTTGGATCAATTTGATACCTTATATTGATTGAAAACGTTGCATGAGTTGATCTTAATTCTTGTATCAATTTGATACACACAAGAAAACTGTGAGACCAATAATAATTTTTTTGAACTTATACAGTTTTCAAAAGCAAATACACTCGTGTCATAATTCTCGTCAACTACCGCACCCTGCTCTAGTAAAAATTTAGTAACTTAATTGTTAAAATTAAAAGTTACTAAATGTTCACTAGACCAGGGTGCTGTAGTTGACGAAAATTAGAACAAATATTTTTTTTTTTATAAAAATTGAGTACATGTAGCAAATTAATTATGAATGAAAAGGGTAAAAGACAAAGGCATATAATCTTTAGATTCATGTCAACAAATGATATATTTAGTACCTATACAGTGAGTTTCCTCCTCTATGGTTTACATTTTTAAACAATTACAAATGAATATTCTCAACACTCAAAACGGAACTAATACTCGTATATCCCTCGTTTTACAAATGATTATAATATGTCGGTTGTTTCTTCTTGCTTCTTAATTATTATTATTTTTATTTATTTTTTTTTCTTTTCTTAAGATGATTATGAGTCACCGTTTAAACATCGTCGCGTTATTAATAGCATTTATTAATTGTAATAAGGTCGTCGGTAATTACGTTCGCGGAGCGCAATCACTCATCTCCTTCTCTCGATTTCGCGCCATTACGACATCGAAATTATTTAATATTATTTTTTTTTTTATTTATTTATTATTCGAGTGATTATACTCGGTGTTAAATAATAAAAAAAAAAAAATGAGGATTCTCCCGATTAACCGTAATGGGTTAAAGAGTTTCAGGGCTATTAGAACTGATGGCAGAAGGTGTTTCTGTTTTTTTTTTTTTCATTTTTTTTTTCTTTTATTATTAGGCATACACTTGATAAGTCATTGCACACGCACTGAAAGCAATTCAAAGACATTTTTTTTCTTCTATATAATGTATAACATTTTATTTATTTTAGAACTATTAGAATTATTTTTATCGAAAGCACACATTTTTTTTTGTACTTAACGAAATTTACGAGAAAAAGAGTTTTTTTCACATTTTGAACTTTTATATGTATATAAATGATGATTTTTTTTTTAGCAAAGAAGTTGCTTTTCGTGCGTGCGTCGTATACCTAAAAAAAAAAAAAAAATTTCGCGCGCTCTTCGTTTTTTTCTTTCTATTATCACGCTACTGTTTTTAATTAAACTCCTACGCGGAGGCCCGAATCCTCGCATAAGCGCACCTTTGCGCGAAATAGGACTCTTCCGAGAGGTCCTTTCTTTTTTTAAATCGTTTTTTGTCGGATGTGTGAACTAAAAGATTCATTCTCCTTTTTTTTCTTCATAAAACAGCTACGTCTGTTTCTGAGATTACTTCCAAATTAACAAATTCCTTTTTCACTAATTTTTGCAAATATACTCTTTTAATTTACAATTTTCGCTGCCCTAGATATTTTCATATATTTAAATCTGTTTATCTTATGAGAAAATTCATACACTCAATAAAAAAAAAAGTACATTTAGAAAAAGAGATAAAAAAATAAAATCTTAATTTTTCACATGAATTATTAAAATTAACTAAATTTTTGAAATTGTAAATAGATTTTTAAAACTGGGCTTTTTTTTAATCTCGAAATAAACTATGAGGTATTTAAAAAACATTACTTAAATTCATAAAAGATTAAAATAATCTACATTTTAGGAATTAATTCACCAATTATAAATATTAATTTTCAAAATCCAATTTTGATTGTAATTTTATTCTTTGGATGGATTATTTTAATCTTCGATTTGAATAAAAGTATTGCATCTTTTATATTAAAAT